ACTTTTGTCCATTACTGTATATATATATACAGGGTGACTTTGAAGTTGAGTCATTAATTTTCAGATAATGATTGTAGAAGGAAGATAAACCAAAATATGTGTGTAAAAATAAAAAAAAAATAAAAAAAAATGTTACCTTGTTTAATAAAGTATCCTCCCGACAAGTATTTCAGTGCGGACCTGTATTTGATCGTGCGGTCTTGGAGCAGCATGCCCTCACCTGTGAGGTCTTAAGTCACCTGATTCACGAGCCCTTTGCACTACATTAACAAAGGCACGAGGGGTTGGTTGCACTCGATTGGGAAACCGATTCGCATAAATCCGTGATGCATCCGGGAGCATTTTGTAAAGACTGCCCCCCCGTAAATAAGAATCATGTCCACAAGTTCAGCATTTTCGTAAACATGTGCCATTTTTTATTTCGTTTGAGCCACGCAACACACTACTATTCACTTACGCGTTATCGACTGACGAAAAACATCGTGATAAACGTTTCGAATTCTTTCGCTTTTTTGTTTCCGATGCGATGAACCGGCCAAGCGGATTATATCCGTTGTCGCCAAACACGAGCATATAATAGGCAGGGCGGTACTCAAACTTCCAAAGGGCTATAACTTTGTTACTTTAATTTTACCAGAAAAATGGTAAAGGAAAAAAACATTTCTTTTGATCAGATCTACTCACTGTTAAAATAAATGACTCAACTTCGCAAGAGAGGCGAATGGAGCACTTAATTTTTTAGCAATAAGATCGCCCCAAGTATGCAACCTTCTAGCGTAGATTTAAATTTAAGTTTTTACTAGTGCACTTGAAACAAATGTAGTTATTGCTGGAGCGGTACATGGGGTTGAAGGCAGAGGTAAAATTCATAAAAACTTCAATAAAAACATAACTCTTGCCGTTTACCAGATACCAGTGGTGAAGGTCGGATTTGAAACACCCGGTATATGCAAGCAGTGAAAGACCAAATCATATATTGGAGACCTGATAAGTATCAAAGGCTCATTTTCACCCCTATGGTTGCTGATAAACGCCCACCCCAATGTAAATACCCCTTATAACGATTTTTTGATAGTGAAAGTCCAAATCATATATTGGAGACCTGATAAGTATCAAAGGCTCATTTTCACCCCTATGGTTGCTGATAAACGCCCACCCCAATGTAAATACCCCTTATAACGATATTCTGTTATATTTTACTATTTTGAGATAAACTGATTCTCTGCACACTACACAAACAAATTCCAGAAAAATAGTGGACACCCTGTAAAATAAGTAAAATAAAATAAACTAGCACTTACCATTTTCCCGCCATGTCTGTATCGCGGTATCTGCGAAGTTCTCCTTCATTCTTCCCGTAATCCAAAGGTGCAAATCACTACAATCACTCACAAACACTTATTCCACAGGCAACTAGCACATTTATCTAGGTACGACAGAGGTTTTCCCTCTCAAAACACAAAAAGCAGCGCTACCGAAGAGCCCGTGTGAGAAGTCCGCGGTATCTCTGAAGTTTTCCTACAATCTTTCCGTAATGAAAGGTGCAAACCACTACAAAAACTGAAAAACACTTAATCTACATGCCACAAACGCACGTTTCCGGGTGCGACCGAATTTTCGCTTTGAATACACTGAAAATAACGCTCCCGAAAAGCTGGTGCAAGCGGCCCGCGAAGACCGTTAAAAACAATTGCAACATTGCATACCTACCAGACGGCAGACGTTTTTCTAGGATTTGAAGTTGGCCGAGGTCGAACTCAGTTCTCAGAATTCTTCCAGACCAGTTTGTATCAGCAAGGGAAATTTCGTTTAATTATTAATGTCTGTGATATCAGAGGTACCTACTGCAGATACATAAATATGATAGCAAAAATATAGATAAATCATATTGTGATATTCTTCCTTTGTGAAATATTCTCTTTCAATTTCTAAATAACAGATTACCTAATTACCTAAATATCAATTAAATAAAATAAGGGACATTGTAAAACGAAATACTGAAATTCCGTTCTACAAACGGTGTCAAGTAGGCTGCCTCTGCATCTTACTTAAAGTTGAATGAAATTTGTTGCTTGTTGGTTTGCGTCGACTCCTTTCATAGTCCAGTCATTATTGATAACGGTATCGATCGAAATGCTAAGCCTGCGCTCAAATCAATTTTTTTTAATGGTAAATATAGCTCTTTTAGACATATTATATCGATTAATGAATAATTTTGGACAGTATAAGGCCTGTATTGTCAGTCGTCCCTACAATTGTAGGGCGTGTTTATGGCCTCCTTGATTGTCATACACCTTTCTCTCCTTCAAAAATTTCTAGATTACACTTGTCCCGTGTCAGCGTCAGCGCTCTCCTATTATGAAGATATGTTTTCTTTTTAAATTGTAGGAAATTTCAGGCTGATAAAACATGATATAACTCAAAAGCAAGCACAATTTGATGCAAATAGATGTTTGTGACATAACCTAAAAATAGAGTTCTGACACGGAGAAGTAGAAAACTATGACAATCAAGGAGGCCATAAAGGCGCCCTACAATTGTAGGGACGACTGACGATACGGGCCTTAATAACAGGATTAGTAGCGAAAAATAATATTTTCTTAAATATCTACGATGCTTTACTGAATATCAATAATCTTGTGCTAAATAAGTCTTAAATATGCTATCTTAGAGTGAGAGTGACCGTAAGCTTTTTTGAGTAACCGATCCGGCTTGCCAAAATAAAAATCGTTCATAATCAGACAAGCTTTGCGGTAATGAAAAAAACCATATATAGATTTCGGAACAAAGGAAGTTTGGTAATTTTGGAGTTTTTTTTTCTATCCTTGGCTGACGATGGATTGTGTTTATCTTATTAGATTTGTCAGAGGTAATGTACAAAAAATGCTAAGTAGCGACAACTTAGAAATATTGGACCGTCAAGCTTGACAAAAAGTAAATATATTCAATATTTATTTTTTCAAATCCGATCCAAATACTTTATAAAAATATTTAATAGTATTGACTCAATGCTTAATCGACAGGACTCTACTAACAACAATATATATATATATATATATATAGGTGAAAAATTAAAGCTTCCGCCTTTTGTTGGGTACTTCGACAAAATTTAAGCAAAGAGGACTCTTTATACTTTTTTTAATTCTCTCTTAGCTTTCAATAGACTTTGCCATCATCATCAGGAGCTGCAATTACAATGATAACAGTAGCAACAAAAGTGTAAAGTGAATTTAAATTGACTCAACTTACAGTAGTATGTGAGGATGTTGCTAATTGTTGTTTACGTATAGGATGAGGGAAACGTCCAGTAACTTGGTGAGAGCTGGATAGATTGTACAATGGTCAAAATTATATAAAATATGACAAGAACAAGTTAAAAACAGATTAAAAATTATTTAAAAACATTAGAGCATTACATCGTGAAGCCTCTTGATGATTGCACAAATTAGTGGTCATGGAATAATGAGTGAGATGAAACCCTTTGACAGAAGGCCGAAGGATGTCAATGTCTGTGTTGAAAGATGGAACGAATTGTGGGCGTGTGCCAAACGTTGCCAAATCACTTCAGATGATGTGATTTTCAGAATTTTATGTAAGAATCTGTTAAACCGACCAGAGGCAGTTGAATAAACTATATTTTAATTAATGGGAATTTAAATTAACAATTATTAATAAATCGTGAGAAGAGAATTATTATATTTTGAGTGGAATGAAATTTACTGGTGGAATCGGCCAAAACACAGATTCTAATTATGGTTGTGAAGAGTCGAAATTTGGGGAGATATGTAAGTTCTCCAATTTTTCGCAGTTTAGCAAATATGAGTAAATGACACTCAGTTGTTTAACATCTGTCTTTTTGTTGCTACAGTTGTTATTCATGAAGATGTGGGACATTTCCAGGAATAAACGTTTGGAAAGGTGTTTTTCTTTATCAAGAACTTTGATACTTGTGTAATTCATAGAATGCCCTGTTGTGTTAACATGAGATGCTAGAGCGCATCTTTCAGGATGAAGCCTAGCATCACTTTTGTGTGATGTAATCCTTCCTTTAAGAGATCTGGAGGTCTGACCTATGTATATTTGGTTGCAGTTGTTGCAATTGATGGAGTAGACTGTGTTGGTTAAGCCAAGCAGCGGGACTTTGTCTTTCATTTTTGAAAAAATGCAGTTTATAGTGAGGACGGATTTGCAAGCAATTCGAAAGTTCAAAGGACTGCACAATCTGATCAGCTTAGGGGTCAGTTCCTTGATATAGGGCAGGACAGCAAAACCAGGTCTGGAGTCCGGGTTGGTGCTTGTACTGTTAGGATTGATGTTATTATTGGGAATTACATCAGTTCCGTTATTAGGGGTTGTGCGACTATTACCTGCATCACCAGAGTTCGGCAAAATATTGGAAGGTGAACTAAATAAGATCTTGTTAATCAGACACTTCGGATAACCATTATTGATGAACAGTTTTGATAGTTTACGTAAATTTGAGGTGTGGAAGGTATTATCAGAGATGCTGATTACCCTTGTTTTCATCTGTTTTACCAAATTGATTTTAATCCCTAGCTTATGGTATGACCTAAAATTGAGAAACCGACCTGAGGCCATAGGTTTCTGGTACCAATCTACCAATAAACTGTTGTTGTTGGTGCGAATGAGTCTTGTGTCTAGAAAGGGGACAGACAGGTTCTCATCTTCTTTTTCAATGGTAAATTGGATGTAGGGGTCATAGCTGTTGAATTCTCTGACAATACCATCCAGACCTATGGAAGGGAGGCATAAAATAATGTCATCTACGTATTTTTTTATGAAGAAGAGGTTATAGGGTAGTGTCGGAATAACAGTATCAAGCAGATCATCCATGACATATTCTGCCAAAATTGGGGACAGAACAGATCCCATAGGACAACCATGTGTTTGAGAATATATTTTGTTGTTGAAAGAGAAATAATTGTTATGAAAAAGGAATGTTATAATGTTGGTGAAAGATTCTAGAGATATGTTGCAGTGTTGACTTATCTCATTCCAGTGTTTATTAATAGTTCTTGTACATGCATCCAGATAGATGTTGCTGAATAGCGACACCACATCAGTGGCGTAGCCTGGGTCATTGCCGCCCGGGGCGGAATCATAATTTGCCGCCCCTTTGACGTCAAAAAATAATCATGTTGGTGAAGGTGAAAAAAAAAATAACGTAATCATCTGGAAGAACAGTGCGAAAAAATATTTATTTCCAAACCATATAATATACAGGTCACGTGTAAACTGTGAACGTGAAAAGTATACTGTTGTAAACTATAAAACTAAAATTCTACTTTTCTGGCCTTACGCGCAGCAAAATCATTAATAACTTCTTCAAAATTAATTTTGTCCGTCACGCTTTGTTCTATTGACAAAATGGCCAAATCACTCAATCTTATTGAGCTCATGGTGGACCGCAAGTAATTTTTTATTAATTTCAGCTTCGAGAAGCTACGTTCACAAGAAGCTACATTGATAGCTATAGTTAAAAAAATTCGAAGCATAATCACGATATTTGGCACGCAAATGCCATAGTTATATTGTTGTATGAATTCTAGGAGCTCTAGCGGTCCTTTCTTGGCGTCAACTTGAACTTTAGCATCAGCCAAAGCAAGAAAATTGCGTAATCGCTCCCTCTCGATTTCGATTTCGTTAACATCAATGTCACAGTGCTCATTTCCCAAGTTACACTTATATTCCGGGTTAAGTAAGTTCGTCGGTATTAGAAAATTATACTTGATATCTAACTCGTTTAGCTGTTGAAATCTTGTCTTAATTTCTTGTATAATTCTGTCCACCGATTCGAACATTTCTTGCCGTAACCGATTCTCATAAGTTAAACCAGCATCTGCAATGCTCTCGCCAGCCATATTTTTTATCTTTCTTGATCGTCGAGGAGTTATTTCGATGCCAAGATCTTCGCATATATTTTTAGCATAATCAAGTGCATCATTGACGAGAACATCTCGATTTTCTACTAAAAACGATTCTAAAGCGTGAATTTTCATAGCACATTGGTGCACGTTCAGTCCTTTCGTCTGGAGATATAATTGTGCATCATTTACTTCCCGAAGAACACGACTCCATAGTCCAAGGAAGGCTAAAAATGATAGTGACTGCAGAGCAGTAAGCAATAAACCAGCGTCTGATCTTGTTCCGGTATTTTCCGCTATGTTTCCTGAAAGTGATTCCAACACTTCAAGGATCTCACTATAATGGGTCTTCATGACAGCTACGGCTTCATATCTAGAGCTCCATCGTGTTTCAATTAAGCGCTTGACTCCTTTACCTGTAACGTCGGTAAGAGCTTTCCAGCGGTGAGTAGAGGATGAAAAGTAATTGAAAACCCTCTCCATAATACCAAAAAACGTCACTGAGTCCACTGCGATTGATGCTGCCTGTACTCCCACCAGATTTAATGAATGATTAGTGCATGCAACAAACTGAGCATTTTGGTTAACTGCCTTGATACGCATTTGTACACCAGAATGTTTTCCCGACATGACAGCTGCATTATCATATGCTTGTCCACGGCAATTTTGGATATCTAGTCCGTCGCTTTCAATCTTGTCCAAAATCATTTTAGTTATATCCTCAGCGTTTTTGCCTTCAGTTTCAAGGAAGTCAATGAATGATTCTATCACTTGCACCTTGGTACCGTCGAGTTTCACATAACGGAGTATTTGGCTCGTCTGGTCCTTGTGGGAGAAGTCTGGCGTACTGTCGAACACAATAGTGAAATACTTGGCTTCCTTCACTTCAGCAAGTATCTTTTTTCGAACATAATTTCCTAAACAATGAATGAATTCATTTTGAATCTCAGGTGATAGGTAAGATACACTAGCTTTCTTCTGCAGTTTCAGCTTTGTAAGGTGTTCACAAAGAACCGGGTCGTACTTGCCAAGAAGATGAACGAGTCCTAGAAAGTTGCCTCTATTTTCAGCGTCATTTTCTTTCATGATTTCTCTATGACCTCGCAAGGCCAGATTTTGTTTAGCAAGAAATCTGATAATATCCAGTATCCTGACCAGTACTAGTCTCAGCTTCTGCTCTTCTTTAACAATCATATTTTGTTCTTGCTTGTCGATCGTTGCACCAACTTGAAGTCTTACCTCCAAAGATTTCCATTTATTGAAGTTGTCATTATGTGCTGAACTAGATTCATGTTCTAAAACTTTGGGATTTAGTTTCCACCACTTTTTGAAACCATTAATGCTGTTGAATCCAGCTTTATCGACGACCCCAAACAAACGGCAGCAGAAACAGAACAATGATTCCTTAACTAAGGAATAGGCCATCCATGTTCTCAGAATCTTTTCGCCATTTGGTAGAGTTCGGAAAAACCAATCACGGCTTAATTTTCTTGCCACTCCTTTGAGCCCCTTGGTAGATTCTACAGGCCCTGGCCTAATCACTTCAGCAAACTTACAGTCAAGGTTCTGTACTGCTTTGTAGCCTCGAGTCACAAGTAATGTTCGAAGATTATCGGTAATGGAAATAGGCCAAGTTCCAATATCTTTGTAATCGCTGATAGATCCATCCTGAATGTCAAGAGTATCGATCACTTCATAGCTTTCGTCTTCCACCAACAGTTTCAATTGTTCACCTACTACCGCTGGTTCATTAGGCAAATCTTCAAATTCGGTAAGTCCGCCACTAGAAGACGAAACAGCTTTTTGATTTGGAGTGGCAGTAGTACTAGCTTCTCTATCAACTTCAGATTCAGCTGTTTCGGTAGTCGAGTCAAAATACTTGAGTAAAGATCCCTTATTTTTCTTATTTTCTTCCTCTCGGGCTTTTTTTTGCTTCCTGTAAAAATCACCGCTAGGCTTATGCCTCTTCATGATCTGAAAGTAACATTGATTTAGCTCGTAAGTTTTTAGGCCAATATAGGGGCAGCAAAATTTGAACCTATAGGCAGGTAAGTAATGGCACGGGAAGGGGTATTAACTAATCAGTTATAAAATTATTATTTTTTTTAACTATCAATATTTCGTGCTAAAACAGGTAATCTATTTATATTATTTTACATGAACTCGATCACTAAAATTTAAATACGTAATGCAACGAAACATTGGCTTTCGAAAAAGCGCGCATAATCTCCCAATCTCCTGCGTTCACATATAATGTGTTATATTTTCCGTGAGATCTACGATAAAAAGCATACTAAAACTTACTTACTGTTAAAACGGCAGCTTAGCGGGATACAAAACCGCGAAATACTGTTACGAATTCCCCAAAAATTCACTGGCACTGTCAATTCGACACTCAAGTCGCTTTGTTTTTTGTTAATTGAACAAAATGAAGTCAAGGGAAGGGCGCGCGGCGACGCGACGCGTGGGTGCTCCTAGAATACGTGTGGGACAGAGACAGGCAATATGCGCGCGCAAGACGGGGCGAATAAGTTACTGGTATTGGGAGGAAGGTACCAGGGTTGCCAGATGTGGTGATTTTTCACCAGATCTGGTAGTTTTTCATATGCTCGACAAAATATTTTTTCCTCATGTAGCACGGATCGGCGGCGGTTCCCTCTCAAACGGAGTCTACAGCAGGCTCGTACCACGTGAAGGGTACAAAAAGGGTCAATTTTGCCGCCCTACTATTGGTGGCGCCCGGGGCGGTCCGCCCCCCCGCCCCCCTCCTCGCTACGCCACTGCACCACATCAAGACTGGCGATAATATGATCGGCTGGTATTGTCAATCTGTTGAACTGACGAGAGACTTCAAATGAGTCTTTGATGTAGTAATCATTATCTGAATGTGCTGATTTTAGTGTTGTCGATATTAATGAAGACAAAGCCTGGGTGGCTGAACCTATTGATGCAACTATAGGTCTTACTGAGAGTACAGGTTTGTGAATTTTCGGAAGTGCATAAAATTTGGGAGGGACAGAGTTATAAGTAGTCAAAGTTCTTTTCTGTTCTTGGGTTATTTGTCCAGTGCTGAGAAGTTCCTTAACAATGTCATTACTTTTCTTTTCCACTTTAAGTGTGGGAGCTCTATTAATTTCATGATATGATGGGTCATCATTGATGAGATTGTTGCAAAGATCTAAATAGTGTTGTTTAAGCATTATCACTGTAACATTGCCTTTGTCAGATCTTGTAACCATAAGTTCAGAATGTTGTTTTAGAAATGTTCTAGTTTTGTTTAAAAGGTTGTGATAAAAGGAATGTTTTTTATTAAGATTGTTATTATGATAATAGTTAGTGATGAGGTTAGTGGAACGAGTTGTGAAAATGTTTCTTTCAGTGTCATCACTTATGGAGGATGCTATTGTGTCTACATCCGCTAGGATTGATCTAATTGGAATGTCATTGTTAACAATCGGCTCTACACTGAACTTAGGCCCTAAGGAAAGAAATTTTAATATGTCATGAGGGATGTCAACGTTACTGAGATTTTTTATCCAATTTTGTTGAGTGTTGAGGAAGGTTTTTCTGGTGTCATTCAACAATCTGTCAAACTTACGAGTGTTAGAGTTTTTTATGTTATGAAAGATTTTATTGTAATGTCTGAGTTGTCTATATTTGAAATTATCAAAAATTAGGGGAGAAGTGGAAGAAATTATGTCACTTTGGAGTGAATTGAGTATGGAATGAAGTTTTTTCAACTGTCTGTGGCAGGAAGATATCTCAAGCGTGAGTATTTTGTCACCTAACCTGTGCAGACGATTTTTCATCCCATCTTCTATTGAATGGCTTTCTAGTAAGTGTGTGATTGATGTTAAGCGGTGGGTGATGTGATGTGGTGTAATGCCATGTTTTCTACATTTTAATAAGAAAATCCGTCGATTGATCTCCTGTGCCAGTCGTTTTCTGCCCTTGATCCAGTCCTTCATCATTCTTACTGCCTGGTTCCCATGACGTTCCGTGATGTTATTGAAAAACCCCAAATCTGTGGATGTAACTTGAGACGTGGTCATTGTCGTCTAGACCAGTTAGGTGAAAAATTAAAGCTTCCGCCTTTTGTTGGGTACTACGACAAAATTTAAGCAAAGAGGACTCTTTATACTTTTTTTTAATTCTCTCTAGACGACAATGACCACGTCTCAACAAAAAAAAACAATATATATACGTAATATATATCCAAATCGAACCAACATCGTCCCAAAATTAGAATACATTTTCAATTGCTATCCTGGTAATTGAAATTTCTCACTCACAGTCTTTAATATAAACTCACATAACCCATTTTTTCAAGGTTGTATCACTATGTCACATTCGTACACTCATATGAACTACACATGTTTTTCCAAAACAAACTAATTCAGCATTTTAGTAATTCGAGTGGAGGTTTACCGAGCGTCCCTCGTATACTTCATACCCAAATTGGACAATGAGGTTTACAGTTCCACGTTCCGTCGCGTCAATCATTTGTCATCTTTCCGTGCCGTCTCCCTCTCCACGTGTAGCGGAAGTAGGAGGTTAGAGACTGCATTCCGATTGTTTCCCTAAAATGTCTTCTCATGTGTAATAATTTTTAATATGTTCGGGTGTATTGATATTTTTAACATGTAACGAAGGTTTCTGTCGTTATCAACAAGCCCAATGTCTCCGTCCTTTTGTTTTTTATATTTATAACAAGTTCTATCTTCTCTACGTTCGTTTTGAAACACTTTGTGGCTGCAACCTTAACGACGAGTAAGTTGTTTGACAATTTAAATCTGTCCTGTATTCTTTGCTAGCATCACAATTGTGTTTTCAGAATCATGATGACGGCTCCATAGAGAATGCCGAAGCCGAAAACTTTCCCAATTTCCCAATTAACAATTAATTGTATTTTGTGCCCAACTGGTCGTTGGCTTTGGCAATGACTACTGCTCTCATATATATAAAATAGGAAAATAATGGGGAAAATCCGCAAAAAGAAGGAAAGTGGATTCGAGCAGAAAATAGGATAGGTAACCCGAGCGATACGTATACTACAATGTGTAGATTGGCTCCTATTGTGGACTTCGCGTGTGATTTTTTTTTCCTCTACATCTTCGTTTCCTCAGGTTATACCCGTATCCGGATGTATGGGCATGTGTATCTACCTTTGTAGTTGCATATGTGCATTCATTTCGGATCTGATGAAGCCAACCAGCAGAAATACGTATCGCTCGGGTTACCAATCCTATTTTCTGCTCGAATCCACTTTCCTTTTTGCGGATTTGGCCCATTATTTTCCTATTTTCTGTTATATACCTTTCTCCGCATGATCATTTTCTCTTTATATATATCTAGTTTAGAAGTATTTGGAACTTCTGTTACTGGGCTTAAATGAAGTGTGTATAATGTACAATGTAATTATTTGAATCAATACTTTTGTATTTGTAACAAGACTAACCCGTAGATTAAATAAATAAAAGAATAAATTGTGTTATCACACATTTATTAACAGGTGCTGTTACACCATCACTGTCACCCGATTTTTTTAATTGGCATCTCACAGATAAGTTCCTCTTCAAAGAACATTAGTTTCTGCAATTGTGGAAAAGTAGCTGCTAGTCTGGTGCAGCAGACTAGGCGACATCTTCATGATGTTCGCTTTTCACTAATGTTTTATGTTGACTTCTACTACATCTTGTTTCATTTTACTAACGACTTCCCAAATTGTGCGTAAATTATTGCACGCATCATTTGTTTGTAGTGTATTTACCCTCTTCGTGTCCCTAATCAGCCATGTGTGTGTTTCAAAAACAATACTGGTACTAAAATCTGTCTCTGAGGAGCACCCGCACTGACGATATGGGATGAAGATGAGACTTGCCAATTACAACAGAAGATCAATAGACTGATTTGGTATTTCCTAAAAATTCATATACAATTTCTGACCATTGGAACTCTTAATAAAATGAAAAATCAAAAGGAAATTTCCATCTTTAGTATTTTGTGCTACGCTCCACATGTTATCCTGCCAACGTATCCTTAAATCTAAACAGAAACATTAGCAAAGTGAAAGCTTATATGACCTTCTGGTGGGTATATATCTGTGCTTCATTGCCCATTTTTATTAACTATAAATAAAAATAATAATGGATAAAGCTAGCGAGTGAGTCATTATCAGGTCTTTGATGGGCTTTTATGAGAGTTTTCCAAGTTGTAATTACCTTTAGGTGTTATTATATCCTCAACCTGAATATGGGTGTTGTATATCGTAAAACTTTTAGATTTATACGTTTATTATTGTGGAATAAAAGGGAAAAATGCGAGGCTATCGGAACTCTGGATGTTATATGTTCGATACGTCACAAATACATACATTAGTTATAATAATTCTAATAATGAAGAAAACTCGATAATGACAACAGAACACATTCAAAAATAAATATATAAATAACTAATCATCTAAAGTTAAGTATTAACTCGATAATCTATTAAGAATCTTAGTGCAGAACAATCAAAGGAATCACAGCTAATCACTCTCTACGACTGCACCCTACACCCTTTGCTCTTGGTTAAAGTATTGTAAGTCTGTAGGTCTATCGGGTCTGGTTGCCCAGGTACCATACAAAATCAGGAATAAAGAAAGTGAGAAGAAAGAAAGGAAGGGTGGAGAGCAAAGAATAAGGAAGTGCGTCTTGGCATTGCTAACTAGTATTCGGGAATTTTAAATTGATTCTAAAAATAATTTAGAGAATGGTTATTGGTTGGAACTAAAGTCGAACGATTGAATTTTGTTCACAGTGCGCGACATTGTGTGCAAGGCAAACTTACTCGACTGTGTAGTCTACTGCCTCGCGCAACAAAGTGTTGTTATGCGATTCCGCTTGACTATAACGTAGCTGCGGTTGTTGTTTCATATAGTCCTTAGATAAAGGATGTCAAGGTCTCTGTGAAGGGTCTCATTGAAGACATACCATGGGCGTTAGTGGTTATACGCGAGGTTCTGTTCTGCAAAACCTGGAGACTTCGCAAATGCGTTTTGGCGAGAAAACACCAAGCCGCACGTACGTCAGTGATCGCTGGTCTAATAAACATCTTCTATAGCCGAACTTTGTTAATCAAACGTAATTTCTATAGCGCATAGGGTAGAGTTGCCGAAACATAATTTGAAATTTAGTTTTTAACGCTTTAGTGTGCTTCTGCCAGGTTATCCCCTTATCAAGAGTGACACCGACATACTTAGCGGAACTTTCCCATGGTGCCAGGGCTACGTTCACTGAAACCTCAGACGAGACGCCCCTACGTTTTTTAGAACAATGGATAGCCCACGTTTCAGAATGATTAATTTTGATCCGCCCATTGCAATATCTCGTGCACTGTACTTTGCAGTCTGTCGTGAACCAGGTTCCCATAACACGACTGGGCCACCAGGGCCGTGTCATCAGCATAGAGTTAGATTTCAGAGTTGCTGAAGCAAGGGACGTAGTGAATAAAAGGTGAATAGAGGATTAGTCCAAGAGTCGAACCCTGAGGGACACCGGCTTTGATGGGCTGTGTTGATAACAGAACGTTGTTAATTTTGATCCGAAATTTCCTACCCTCAAGGAAGGATTTCAAAAGTTTCAGGAGCCAGAAAGGAAAGCCGTTTTGAATCAATCTGTACCTGGTACCTCACCTTTGCAAATTTCTTTATGACATCCAGAAGCAAGAAGGCAGTACATTCGTAAAGGGTGAATCCCCTGGTTACTCGCCTTTAACTCCGTACTATGCTCAGACCAAAGTCAAATTGCACGTGAGGAATGACATTGTGGTATGACGAGAAATTTTCAAGGTGACTCAGAATTACCTTTTCAGCAAGCTTAGAAGGAGCTGACAGTAGACTAATGGGATGTTAATCCTGGGGAAATATCCAACCCACCTTCTTTGTGAAGTCTCGAGAGATTCCGCTAATGTGCCATGCAACTCTTCAGTTGAACAATCTTCTGAAAAAGACTCCTCTGAGGAAAAAACACTAAGGGATGCGCTACTACCACTGACGCTGTTGACCGTAAAGTATCTCCTGACGGATCTTACAATGTGTTGCTCCTCGTCGAGATCATTATTAAGGTCATAAGTGGGAGAAAACAGTCTTTCCGTAGCATCAGAGAAAACCTCGACATTTTCCTCTGCCGTAAAGACTACGCCCCAAGACCGTGGATGTGCGAGAGTTATTCTCACATCCCGTTTCTGAGCGACCTCGCAATTTTCAAGAGAGGAATACTAGAGTCAAGCATCCCCGCAAGCAGATCCATTGCTCATTACAGAATTCTTGAAGAAATCATGAACAAGATTCGCCGCTCTGCAAATGTTATCAGGATGACATGACCTTTTCGCTTGCTTAATTGCAGCTCTTTTGTCAGAAATTTTCTAACGAATCGCTACAGGGAGACGATTTCTTTATGAAAATCGATGCGGATGTTCGAAAGTCCGATAGTCAGAGCAACGGCTCGTCTTACCATGATCTAGAGTAACTGCTAACTCTGTCATCTGTCAGTGGGGTGTCAAGTGTATTGTCATTCGTGACAGCTGTTCAAAAACTACAACTCAAACCGACTTGAAACCGTTGAGATATCTAATCTATCATAAATCGAAAGAATTAAAGAACATTTTTCTAGCTACCAAAATGTCAAGACGCCATAGAACTTTTTACGACGCCGAAGAGGGAATTGCGTGGGGGAAACAAACTATCAATGAGTTGAAAGACGATCTGCATAGGCCCCGTTTAGAACCAAAATGTCGCCGCACAATTTTCAATATCACATGCAAAGACTCGTCGACGTGTTCCTCTAATGATACGATGTTCACAGCAGCTTCCGAAAACAACAAAGAAAATAGTTCAACTAGCTGCAACACAGATCTTGCACATAAAATGGAGGGGTCTTCTATAACTTCATATTATACACCAGCCGAAGAAACATATTCACCTGCTCCTAAAGGTGATGAAGATGATAGTGTCATCACAATTAGCAGTGATGAAGATCAAGGTAGTTATAAAATTTATTTCCAGTGCGACAACGCAAAATTGGTAAACTTCATGCGCATAGTCATTTTTGCATTTACCCAAAATTGTAATTATTGTAATGCTATATTTACCTTGCACACTGTGCATAATCATGTTCTACTAATATCTATGATTTTTTGTGATTACCCACATTATATACTTGATAAGCAGGTAAGAAATGCAGTGGTTCATATAATGAACATGCATTTACCAACTTTTATTCAATAATGTACATGCTGATATATAAATCGGAAGTGGCTGAGGCGTTGCCGCCAGTAAACAATTTTAAGCATATATGGTTCACTTAGTGGCCAGACAAACATGGAGGATTCTGTCATTTACATTATTTTAATTTGTTTTAAGTTTTTGCTGTTTATTGAGTGTTGACAAGCAAGGTACATACAATACGTTTAAGTTTAAACTGGTAGCTACTCCATGAACTATATGAAAAAACATGTAGTATTGCAACACCTTGTATATAAAAAATTAACTCCATAAATAGGTACTTACTGGAGGAGATGGTTGACATTTACTAAAAAATAATCTAAATCAAGTAACTGATTCAATAGAAATATGCTGTAACCTTGGCTGTTTCTTTGATAAGGCATTGATGTTTTGAGGTACATATCAGGAAGGTTTGGAAAATAAGTATGAACTCAGGTTTTACACTTCACAGAGGCAATTCTTTGGTTTGCACAAATTGTGTGTCTTGCATTCAGACTGAGTAATTACCGGGCTAAGTAATTCAATACTTGTTGAAACCAGCTACTATTTATAAAGAGCAGCAGCAGAGCACTATTTACAAACTACGTACTGGATGCATTGCTACTGAAAGTATTATTGTCTTTGATTTAGGCTATTGGCATCATTCTTTATGTAATTTTTTGTCAAACTGTATCTTGTTTATGTTTTATTAGGATAATATGGAAATTGCTTGCTTGTCTGCCGAACTGACACACTGTGACCCATACATGAATGTCATGACAGGATTAAAAATAGCATTTCTGTCTTACTTTAACATACAAACACTACATTTCAAAATTTTATTATAAAATCCATCATTCAATGTACAATGTCGTTACATAAACATGTACTTGGTTTTAATTCCAAGGAAAAAGTTGAGTTTTAATGAACAAAAATATTTAGTTTTAATTACATATCTCCTATTTATCTTTTGTTTTCATCGATCATGTGATTTTTTTAGTCATATTGTGCAATTTATGACTAATTTTAAAATAACTCGAATATGTCATACGTGGTCACCATTGACCTTTAAATCAGGGAAAAGCATCTAAAAATGTTGGAACATACAAGGTGTTCCATTTTATTTTTTTTGGATAAAGATTCGTGTAGCGTTCTTGACCACCCCACATTGAATATACAAAGTATTAAAAAATGGATGGTTTATTCCCTACTTCGCCTCTCAAGATAGCTGAAATTCAGTCTGTCAAACTTTTTTATATAAAATACCCCATAACTCAACAACTAATAACCATAAATAAAAAGGCAATTCAAAAAACATAACTTTGATATCAGTTTTTCAGAATTTGAACACCCTGTATATGAATAGTTTTCTTTTGAGAAGTTAATGTTTAGTAGCACGTTTGGAACACCCTGTATTGATTTTCAGTGCACAAGACATGAAAAGTGTACAGTATGACTTTTTTCAGTAACTGTCTTTTGACAACATAGCAGGATACAGCCAAATATTTTTCAAACAACATTGTCTCTCAAATTCTGTTATCTTGCTAGCTTGTACTTTGCTGTAGGAACTTGACAACTTATCTATATTTTACAGATTATACTGAATACGTGGTTGCAAAAACTCCAGATTATATAAAAAAAGAAGATAGGAGCTGTAACTCAGAGGTCATAAATATTTTGGATGATACTGCAGATGAAAAATTAGATAAATTGGTAGATCTATCCAGATCCAAAAAACTAAATGACAGTGGAATGGTTGAAACTCAATTTGATCAAAAAGGAATGCAATGCTCCTATAAAAGTGAAAGAAATTCCAATGACACTAGGTCAACTGTAGAGAGTAGTGATGAAGAACAAGACCCTCCAGATATATCCGTAGAAGATGGTGTTATTTATAAATATAATATATCAGAAAACATGTCTCAATCAGAAGAAAAAATAGTGCCCCCAAGAGAAAATTATGTAAGTAAAAAAATTGGTTTACATGAGAAACACAGGCCATTGGTAGATCTATCCAGATCCAAAAAACTAAATGACAGTGGAATGGTTGAAACTCAATTTGATCAAAAAGGAATGCAATGCTCCTATAAAAGTGAAAGAAATTTCAATGACACTAGGTCAACTGAAGAGAGTAGTGATGAAGAACAAGACCCTCCAGATATATCCGTAGAAGATGGTGTTATTTATAAATATAATACATCAGAAAACATGTCTCAATCAGAAGAAAATATAGTGCCCCCAAGAGAAAATTATGTAAGTAAAAAAATTGGTTTACATGAGAAACACAGGCCAGTATCAGATCCTACAGGACAAATAAGGATTCTTTTAAATGACAAAGAATATAGATCTCCATCAATCCAAAATAATTGCTCAGATGATGAGATGTCTGAAACAGAAGGTCTGGCAGAAATAGATGCTTCTCATATACATCGTCAAAATAAGAGCCTTACATACAATATATCTGGCTCAACAACCAATTCTAATAATGAAGCAATGAATGAAAATAGAAATTTAGATTGTGATACTTATAAGGCATACATAAGTTCTTATAAAAGTAGCACTGATACACCAAATTATGTACATCTTGATGTAAGTACAGATACTAGTTCTAATTTTGATGCTAGTTGTTTCTATGGAGATGAACCTTGGGATCCAGAGATGGACTCTACAACTGATGAGGGAGAATGTGAAACCAGTCACGAACAGAAGCTAACAGAAGGACTCAAAATACCAACACCAGTTAAATCTACTGCAAGAGGATCTCCTTTGACTCACAAAATACCAACACCAGTTCAATCTGCTACAGGAGTATCTTCTTCAAGCCACAAAACATTAGTATCAGTTAAGCAGCCTACCCCAATACTGTCTCCTGGAAGGTTTTTGATCCAAAATAGTGAAACCACACCTCAAAACATGAAAAGTCCACAAATATTCAAACATCCTGAGGCTGTGTCTGTCAAGAAAGCAAAATCTGTTGACAAGTTCAAAGATATAATCAGCCCTGTTAGATTATACATACAGCATAGCCCAGTGGCACATCTTAAACAGAATGTGGTGCCCCACCCTAGTAAATCACAAGTGGTTTGTATGAAGTCTTCATCATCTGTCAATAAGAAGATGGACAAATTGGATACCTGGTGAGTTTTTTTCAAAGTTGATTGGTTCATTCATGTTTATGTCATTGAATGAAATTTTGGTTTTCTCTTACATGACTTTTTTCTGAAATGTGTAATTTATATGAATACAAACATACCGGTTTCGTCCAGCCGACAGTGGACGTCTGTTTCGTGCTTTTTGGCAACTCATCACAGTCTTGGCTTGGTCTCAGGTACAACAGTGAGCGAACGCATAGCAAATATCCTCTATATGAGGTATAAGATTTATAACATCCTGCAGTAAGATACTGCTTCAGACGGACGTTGTTTAATGGAAAGCAGACCACATAATATATACTATACCGCCAGAATCGACAGCATCTAGCGGCCACAGTGGTGACCCGGCTATCAAATGCGAACTGAGATCTTTACAGTTCCAACCGATAGCTACTACGAGGAATGTCTTTTAAGTTTTGCATATAGAAACATAGTAGGCCGCGCGGATCGAACGTCAGTACTGAATCTTAACCTCAGTAAACTTAAATTCAAAGTTTCACAACAATACGTGCAGTGTTCTTACTACAGTGAATTTTTAAGTGTCACCAAGTCATTAGAAAAATGGAACTCAACCGAGAACATTTTCGCGCCATAAATTATTACAACTTTCAGAGACAATTAACGCAACAAAATTGCCTTGCTGAGTTACTGTCTGTTTTCGGCAACGAAGCGCCACATCTGTCGACAATTTCCCGTTGATATGGAGAATTCAAACGTGGACGGGTGAGTCTTAGCGATGATCCCAGGGTGGCTGCACCAAAAACGGCAGTCACCCAGGAAAACGTCGATCCTGTGCGCAAACTCATCATTGAAGATAGACATGTGATATATCGCGAGATTGAGGCATCCTTGAAGATCTCAAAGACCTCAGTTCAAAAAATTTTACGTGAAGAATTAGGAGTAAGAAAATTAGTTTCTAGTTGAATACCCCACCTGTTGACTGAAGAGCAGAAAGCAGCCAGGGTTAATTGGTGTCAAAAAACGCTTGACCATTTCAATTCCGGAAACTCAAAAAATGTGTACAGCATTGTTAGTGGATTTACTGTTATGAACCAGAAAATAAACGACAGTCGGCTGCTTGGGTGTTCCAAGGTGAAGAAAAACCAACAAAAGTCATCCGTTCTCGAAGTGTTTCGAAAAAGATGGTCGCGACATTTGTGTCAAAAGCGGGTCATATTGCAACAATTCCTCTTAATGAGCAAAGAATTGTTACTGCGGATTGGTATACCACCATTTGTTTGCCAAAAGGCATCACCGAGCTTCGAAAAATCAACCCCGAAACAAGAATCATCCTCTACCAAGACAATGCAAGCTGGCACTCGGCCCAAAAAACAAGGCAGTATTTAAAATCATTTAAAACTACCTACCGTGATGTTTTATTTCCATATGCAAAACTTAAAAGACATCCCTCGTAACTCTCGCAGTGGTCGATTTTGGTGATAGGTGACATTTTGTGCTGACCTATTTTGGTAGGTGTTATTTATATGTTATTTGATGATCATTTTCTGACACGATTTGAAACAATCAAATTCAGTCGACCAAGTTGAATGTAATTTCTTGCGTCGCGACATTGTATTATTAAATTATTGCAAGATGCTATCACTGTATGTATATTGTTGTGGTCGAAATTTCTTACAATAAACAGTAATTTAAACATATGGTTTGATTGGGCCAAACATTGGATTTCCATAGGATAAGCTTCATTCCCGTGAATTTGTTTATCTTTAATAGTTCACTTAACATTTCCGGAAATCAGATTGAGATATTGAGATGAGTTTTGGTACATGATAATGTACTGACATCAGTTGAAGAATGGTTTTACAAAAATTAGTATCAGTATCTTGAGGCCAGATTCTGTCCATTTGAAAACCTCCTATCAAAAGTTTACGTACAGGCGCACATTTATCGAAAGCAATTTTTGTAATTTATAGGTGCATCAACCTGCTTATTACAAAATAGGTGGCACTTTTTTATCGAACATATCAATAGAATACTGATTGCTTTCCAAATTAGCGTCATTTTGATAAGAGCGTTTAGTAAATGATCTCTCAAACTAGCACTCTTACATAAAAAAGTGATATAATCGTTTTTGTACAGAACTGAATTCTCTTTCGTTGGTCATATACAATTATGCAGTAAAAAATGTACAAGAAACTTGATGTCAAACGTACACGTAATTAGGTAATTATCACATTTTTGCTTATAATTACTGCTAAACTAGTAACTCAAAATTGTATAAGTTCGTATTACTTATTATATAGAATAAAATCTTCTACACAAAGGTTGCATTTTTTCGGTTGTCGAAGTATTTGGGAGAAATTAAATATTCGTGTCAACATATTCATGCAGCATGCTCCGCACACTACATGAGCTGTCTACGTGTCAGCATACATTATTTTCGCTTGTATTTAAGATCAATAACGCCATTTTCAAGCGAAATAATTTATTTTACTAATATACTGCCATCGTAAGTATGAAAAATGTAATATTTTCGCATAATCATTGATCATATAAAAATGCATGACACTCACTTCCATCACTCTGTCTATTGACATTGAAAATTTTGCCGTTGCGTAGCCTCAGCGACTGTTGCACCAATTTTAATGACAGGAGAATGATGACATAAACCAGCTTTATATCTACTACATCTCTTCCACTAAAATCGTTGCAACAGATGCTGAAATTACGTAATGAAAAATCGCGTATCAACAGACTGATGGAAGCGAGTTACTTGATTTTCATAATGAAAAAAGCACCTGACATAAAAAAATGTGACTTGTAGTAAATTATATATATATATAGTGATCTTTATACACTTATATTGCTAGTTTAGCCATTATAAGCAAAAATATTTGTAGGATTAAAATGGCCGAACATTTAATTCGAAACAAAATTGCTTCTATTACTTTTTTTCCATAGGATCGATAGTTTATGAGATATTCGATCAAACATGTGACTTTTATCATGCATGAAAGAAGCTTAGATGTATACGCAAGGCAGTGCCATGATATTCGATTCATTAAATTTGTCTATACATCTATGCTTGCTTTATCCATGTTGAAAGTCACTTTCCAAATGATTTAACTCAAGATACTCATAATTACAACACCAGAAACAAAGAACATTTCGTCGGTCTCCACACGTACAGGCGTAAATGACAAAAATCTGAAATCGAGTTACGCCGTAATTTCACATACGTTTTTGTAGTCTCTCACCTCACGAAGTGAGGTAACTGTCTATCAGTTCTCTGCTAAAAAATCAGTATATCATTTTCAATCCTATTTATTGCTGATTTTCGTTTTCTACCTCTCCTGTAAGAGACCGACGTGTTAACTACCATGGGCTAAAATTCTACAACCTATTGCCAAGTAAAATAAAGTCTCTCGATGTTGAACAATTTGGGAAAACTATGAAATACTTCCTACTATCTGAAGCTTTTTTCTAAGACTTCCCTAACTTTAATTTTTTCAGCCTTGCATAATTTTTATTGTGTTTAGTTCCTTTTATATTTTTTACCCAACTTTATTTATTGTTCATCTAAATTTTAACTTTAGTTTTATTGACTTGTGTTTACTTTATGTTCTACTTTAACTGACCTGTGCAAACACATTTCTGTGTTATAACACCAATAAATTATTATTATTATTATTATCATAATGACTGCTAATGCATCTACCTTATCAAGACGCCAATTTGGATTTATCATTACAAAGCAGTATTCTAACGATGTCAATAAAAAATTCATATTCCACTAATTTTATAAGTTTGTTATTCAGTATATCCCTATTCCCTAGCCTAGAATGTCTTCAAAAAAGCAATACTTATTTTTACAAAAACCAGCCATTTCTTGCTTCTTCTTAAACAACACATAATATGATGGAAGTTGGGAATTTCCGATAAACTATGTTACTTGCAGAACCTGTCCTCAAAATTTCCTTACATTCCGCAAGGAATTGAATCGATATAAGAATTTCTTGCACAGAATCGCATCGCATTGAGAAATATGAAAGATACCTGAAACGATTGACTAAGCTTGTGCTTTGGTTTTGTAAAGTTATCTCTATTTCAGCAAAGAGTTACCTCCCGTCATCTACAAGCCCGCAGAAAAGAAAATAGTCACCATGAAATCTAAGCAGCTGTTCATGCCACCCTCTCTGGGAAAGCATGTAGTGGATCCTCTTGTCATTAAACACGAGAAAAAATTGAATGTCAAAGAAGTTAGTCGGCTAACTGAAAAGTTGGGTTTGGATGAATCGGAACTGGAAACAGACAAGAATGATGAGAGTGCCAACATGTCTGTTTTGTGTATTAAGAAGAATTTTTAGGGATCGATCGATTAATTAATAATTAATTAATCTTACTTTGCCGATATACAGTGTCGGAAAAGTTCCGGAACCCCACGATAATTTGTGAGCTAATAATGGTAGAAAAGAGCAAAACCCGCGATTAATAGTTTCCCCCGTTTATCCCATGGATTTGACCATGACCTTCAAGGTCATTTGATGGTAAAGTCGATTTTTTTTAAATGAAACCCCCATTTTTAACCCCCTAAGAGAACGGACGATTTGCGATCAAATATCGTCTTGATCATTCTTAAATGTTGACCTTATGGTCAACGTCAAACCCAGGTATGTTGATATTACTTAAAAGCCAGTAGACTTATAGGGAAACTACCGAAACATTACTTTCAGAATGTTTCTCCGGATATCAAATGGAGACCTACAAGGTCATTTGAAAATCAGCTCTTGTTTATTCAGACAGGATACTTTTGACTGTGGAAGTGGAGATGATGATAATTCAGAAAACTGTGAATTCCCCAGGTAAACTGGCTTGACTGTTCATTCAGGGTTGTTTCCTGGCTACAAAAATCAATTTGACCTTCACATGACCTTGATGGTCATTATTGTTAAAGTCAGATCCAAGATCACCGTTGGATATCCGGGGAAAAACCATTAAAATAATGTCTGGGTAGTTTTCCTATACGACTACCGGTAAAAATGTTGTATCACCGTACCTGGGTTGACTTTGATCATGACCTCCTAAGATCAAAATTCAGAATATACCATATTTGAAGGTAAAATTTTCCGCTCTTTCCATTTACGGGGTCAAAAGTGGAGAGTTCCATTTAAAAAATCGACTTGACCTTCAAATTACCTAGAAGGCAAGGTCATACTGTTATCAGTTTGTTGAGGTTCTAGAACTTTTCAGGCACCCTGTATGGCCAGTCGATATTATCAAGTTAATAACGCTTAATATTGCTGAAGAAAAAACAACAAAATACATAGAAAGATGCATTTTAATTGTATTGAAATAACCTCTTGTTTGTTGCGTGTATAATAAAACGAAACTTAAGTGCCATTTTCAGTCTCCATGGTCACCTGAATCTTGGTGTACTTTGCTGTATTCAGAAAGTCGATACTTCATATTTGATGCGTTCGCTATTTCCTCCAAAAAATCAGTTTTTTGAGTCCACATGAAGGACAGTGAATGATCTCAGCTGACATTTGCAAACGTACTGCCACGGTCTTTGACGGTTGCGTCATCAATGCAATACGAAATAAGTGATCAAATCCATTAACTGAACCATGTGCGGAGCTGAGGCGCCATAGTAAAATTACACACTGCTCAAACTAACTTAATGTTATCACTGTTTGCAGCAGATTATGCGTCTTTTTTGTCTTTTGAAAATGAAAGCAGTCAAAGCCAGTGCATGGTTATTATCATTCATTGTGCTTCAAAATGTAACTAGTCAAGTATACAGATTGGCAACCTCATTCATATTGAGAACTCTTTTGGATGGATATACATTAGTTAAGTCTCGTCGCTATCCTGTAACTGGCAGAGTTGGAGCATTTTTTTGTAGGATCATAGGTTTTTTTATGTCTGAATATATTTATACTAAATTGTTTTATATCTTTTTTTAAATAAGAATTCATGACAAACTGCAAACAGATTGCTTCTCTTTTTCTGACATTCCTGCCACTCCCTGGTTACTAGAAAAATCGGCGCCTACCCACAAAGCTGTTAGTCCTGGGCCTCTCGTGGCAACATTTCGACGGGGGATTATTGAAAACGGTCAGGTAATATTGGCTTCGAAAGTTTTTATCGGAGGGATTAATGAAAATAGTACAGTGAAATCAGTTTCGCAAAGCTTATTAGGCAAGCTCGAATTATGTCGTTTTCTTGACATCATATTGCATACTAGTTAGTTTTTAGGGTGCCAACAGTCATTACGTTTTCTCACTAGGATCGTTGTGAGCGTCCATCTATGGAGGAATGATTCGACTACTCTCATTGTTGGTTGCATATATTTGGTGAAGCTGAGTAGTATGTAGCTTTCATCTCTGAGAAAAAGTTGGTTGAAAAGCAAGATCGCATCTGGATGATTATGTGTGTTGGTCTGCATGTGTATAAAATCAGTGATACTTGCTTTGTGAAATTGTTACTGAATATGCTGCCAATGAAGTATAGCTATTAGCTGTGCCCAACGATTTATTTATATGTTGTCCTTTCTGAAGACAGGTTATGCTCAAAGTTATAAGTTACGGTTTTTTAAGTTTTTTGTGTTTTCAAAAACTTTGAGGAGAATCACGGGAAATCACTATCCCGCCCGCGTTGTATGTAATTACTGTTAGGATGTATATGATTTGTAATTCGACAGTGTACAGTGAATATAATTCTTATCTCTGTCATATTTGAAATTCTGCATATTTGCATATGTAATTTCCAGAATGGATAAGAAAAAGTGAAAAACTAATTTGTAGTAGCTTTGAATTTCAAATAAGTGTATTTCAGACAAAAATTCAATGGATTTATCATCAGCACTTATTAGTAGCACACAAATCCTCACTATGCACATGTGCATTGCCTTCTAGGTATAGTATACAACTTACAGCTTAGACCTCCAGTAATGCCATCTCTTTAGCAGATTTTACATCACATAAGAGCCAAACATTGATAACTGAAGCATCATGACGTTTAGGCAACACGTACAACTACCAAACGGGTTCACAAGTGTCCATCAGCTAGTGCTAAGTCAACATCTTGTAAAGAAACTTACACAATGTCAAAAAATCGACATTCAAGATTCGTAGTACCCGTGCCGATATCGTCGGATGGATTAACGGATATAGTCTGGTGAAATTAGTTTCGCAAGTTTGTTAGGCAAGCACCTCGAATAGAAATATCCGATGTCTGGTGGAACTAACCTTACAATAAATTGATGTTGTTAGCTAGTCTTTAGTGCTCTTATTTTGTTGCTTCGTTATGATCTTTGTTGTTCTGGGCATGCTCAGTAGCGAGACAAGCCTTCGTTCTCAGTTATGGAGAATAAGGGAGATCTTATATGATAAGGTCAGGATTCAGCACTGTTTCCCGAATTTGTAAAGCTGAGAAAGTTAAAATGATTTTAAGTTATTAAAAGATATTGGTTCAAATATAATAGTGATATGAGTTTTAGATCACAGATAAAAATAAATTCGATAGGAATGTTTGTTATATGTGCAATGTGACTTTCAAGTTATGACGGTTCACTTCACTGGTCATAAAAACTCTTCTTTTACCAACCATACGTATTTGCTATCGTTGTCAGAGCAAGCTTAATGAAAGGCTTAACGATTCGGTTTTTTAACTATTGACTTAACCTATGAGACATAAGGTGATATGTATTATACTATCATACCGATGCCTGACGTTCTTCCAAAATGAAGGAAAAGCTCACTTGATGGGTGCCACTAATTTCTATTTTCCCTAACATGGGTGAAAGTTTTGCAATCCTTTCAGTTCCCAACTATACATGTATATGTCTGTATATGCAGAGAGTAAGTATTTTTCGAGAAAGTTCGATTATATTCGGTGGAAGCAGGGTACAAATAAAAAACATTTTTTTTAATAGCAGAACAATATTTTAATATAAACAATTTATACAAGTAACTTATGATGTATTAGGATATTTTAATTTAAACGTACGTATTTACACACTAAAAAATACTTCTGATAAACAAAATATATGTATACATTATTTAACATTCAATTTAATGGAGCCCACATGCCATCAAAGACTATTTGATAGAAATGTCCTCGTGGAAACATATATTGTCTAAAACCATACTATCACGTGGTTAGCAATTCCAGTCGCCATATGCAGCAGGATATAAACCATGTCTTTCCTATCAGGTACCGCTGTCCAGATCCGTACGTGTTTCAACCACGGAACACAGACGTAACCCGTCATGCACAACAAAAGTGTAATTACCGCGCAAAAACAGGATAAAGCACATTATTTCATTCAGGTTTTTCGGGCTGTTAAGCCGGAGTCGGGCACTCCAAGATGGTCAAAATGTTCTGTTAGACCAAACTGAAGACTTATCAACATGCACCCAGTACTCAGCCCTAATGTACAGAGAAGCAATTGAAATCTACAAACACGAGGATAATTTCAATAGAAAAGAAGAAGGCCTTGCTTTAAACAGAACGTGGTTCCCAATACTAAAAAACAGCACCAAAACCGCGTCGCTCAGGGGACCCAAAGTACCCCCACCAGACAACTTAGTCCTCGGTCCGCCGATCGCCTATAAAACCGTGCACCTATCCAGTTGACCGATAGCTTAAGGCGACCCGCCAAGTCGAGTGCTTCGCTCTCGACGACAGTGCCATTGAAGATGGCTACTGCCGATGTAGCTGAAAGCTCTGGAGAAAATCCATCCCGACCCCGGCTCAACAGCTCGAAAAACCTTAATGAGAATTGAACTAGCCCGTGAAAGCCTTCATTCTCCAAGCACATTATTGTCACTTCACCCTTTGAAATTACGTGTAATTGGATTTAAGGTTTAACCGACGTTTCAGGAGAATTTACATCCTTTTTCAGTCATGTACACAGAAATTAAAAGCACTAAATCGATGTAAAAGTTACTTATTTCATTATAAACGCATAAAAATAAATAAAACACATTTTACAATTTTTTGTTGATTCCCAACTTACAGTGCTTTTCAAAAACGTCATTATCATTATTTTTGTTGAAATTTGAAATTGGGGGCGAGGAAATTGTTGGATAAATACCCTATTTTAACGTAAAAATAACAACTGAAAATTTCAAAATAGTGGTTGGACGCCATCTTGTAACACTTTTTCAAATGGAATGGGGAGTGATGTCATACCTTATTTTGAAGCTCCTTAGGAGTACTTCATGATTCTAGAATAGAAAATCACTATATCTCAAAATGGTAGAATGTCAAAATTGAACGTTCTTGCACATTATGTATCATATTTAAACCAATAATGAAAATGGTACTGTGTGTTACATAAATCTTGTAAAGTTCAATCCCAATATGTAATAAAATATGGAATATTTCTTTTTAACGGGATGTTCCACATTTTAGTGCACACTCCGATAGACGAAAAGAATGTTGGTGTAACATGCTATAACGTTGTGATGATGAGTTGTTAAGTTATAAGTGATTCAATGTAAAAACGCTCAATTTTGACAGCCATTTTGATTATATAGTGGTTTTATATTCCAGGATTATAAAATACTAATTTGAAGCTTCAAGATAAGGTTTCACATGACCCCCATTCCGTTGGAAAGTGTTAGAAGATGACGCTAAGCTTAGAATTTTCAGCTATAATATCTAGGTTGAAATATATAGTCAAAATCTCATCTTCAACATAGTGACTTCATATCCAAGGGCTATAAAGTACTTGTAAGAAGCTTCAAAACGAAGAGTAACGTGACAGTTTTAATTAAAAGATGTTTCAAGATGTCGTCTACCTGTCTCTTTTATGCCAAATTTTGCATTTATGCATCAATTTAATTATGCGGATTTCAGCTCGTTTGACCCATTCAAAAAATAAGGGGGGGGGGGTTGACAAGCACTGTATACACAATGCAAAGATAAAGTGTGTGTGTGAATGTTGCGAATCATTGTTTAAAAAAAAAGCTAAAAAAATTATTCATGTTATATGTGTTTTTAACTGAAAGAAATAACTGTTCACCTAAGAAGGCGAACAAGAATTGTTGGAGTTTTCAATCAACGTGATTTTTATTATTTTGTAGAGCCATGAAGAAACAACACAATTTTTTCCGAAAAGTCGGCAAAATTAACAGGAAACTATTTCTTTAGACCCCAAATCAAATTAACAAGTAATTTCATGCACATAAGTATCAATACTAATACCGTTAATTAAGGAATTCTACCTAATAACTTCAACCATATCATGTATTTTGGCGTCCAAAAAGGATCTAAAAGATGCTGGCGCCATCTATGAGGCAGAACCAGAACACAAAAATGAATCTAGAAAACTACTCTTAAAATAGTCAGAGTGTTTGGTTCTGCTACTATTTCATAGATGGCGCTAGGGTCTCCAATGCCTTTTTGGCCTCTCTAATGCTTATTTTAATTCCAAATCCAAACATTAACTGTTTCTACCTGAAGATACCCAATCGAAATAGGCATTAGAGAGGCCAAAACAGCATGAATGATCCTAGCTCCATATATGAGACACTAGCAGAACCAAACACTAACTCTTTTTAAAGCAGACTTTTAAATTCAGGTTTGTGTTCTGTTACTAGTATTAGTTACTCCGACACTAGTATCTGAGATCCATTTTTGGACGCCGGAACATTCTCACGAAGGATACGCTAATCAATGCTAATATACCGTCACCTCACGCGCTCGTGTCATTCTGGCGTGTATATGTGTGTGTATGACAATTATGCCTTAGACATTCCGTCAATTTACATTTTGGATATCTTTATCAAATGTGTGGTCTACTGTTTTCTGTAGCAAAATAGGCGACAAAACATGCTTGGCTTATGTGACCGCTTGAAATAGTCAGAACAAAAATTGAAAAATTCGACATGCTTTGAAAGACTAATGCCAGATTGTACTACCCATGGCGCAAATTTGACCGATCATCATAAGTAATGGATCTAATGAATTTAGTGGTATTGTAATAAATTGGAGAAAAATTATGCGATTTGTGTAAGATGGGCCCCTAATTCCCGTATTAAATCAAGAAATACTTCATATATCACTTGGTATAGCTAAAAAAACCTATTTTCGATGCAAATTCGGTCAACCAAAAAGAATTTGCGATATAGTCGCAAATTCGACCAGAATATCAGCATTTTATTAAAAACAACAGTCTCACTACTTACTTGACACAGATAATTTTGAACAAAAGGATATATTTTACAAGAAACCGGCTATATTCATTAGATGCATTACTTCAAAAACGCCTTTGCATTGATCGAATTTGTGCCGCAGCAGGTGCATATTCTGTGCTCCTGTTAGTAAATAATAGCAAAAATAAATAAGTAAATTCACCGTGAAGGTGTGAAAGTATACCTCTCATACGTGAAAGCATGCTCGACGTGATATCACGTGATGTTTATGTCATGTGGGAGAGTGGGCGATGTCATGTGGTTACATGCGAAGCATTTCATTTTGCATGTGTCGGACCAGAATGTTGGTGTATGGGTAAAGATTTTTAATAGTTACCACTATATGCCTGCAAAAAGTGGCATTCAATAAACATGACTGTAGACTCTGGAATTAAAAAGCTCCGGATAATCCAGCCGGTAGCATACTATACTTCAAAACGTCCTACATACGGCAAATATTCTCGAAAACCATAAGTCTAAAAGAAATTTTCTCTTGAAAAAATGGACTTGACTTTGGAGGTCAAATTAACCGTCGCGGTCGAATATTTCTAAATCCTAAGAATATGCTTGGGTAGAATTTCGAGACTATTTTATTGATTAAAGATTAAAGCTTGGAAATGAACTTGGTTTGAGCGTAAAATTTTCTGGTGCCAAAAATATAGAATCCCATTTAAAAAAATCTACTTGACCTTGGAAATTATCTTGATTGTGAAGGTATAATTCAAGGTCAGTACCATATATAGCCAGACTAAATCTTAAGCCTGTACTTAATGCAGAATTTCTAAAAGAATTACATTATTTTATCAATTAGATAAACTTTGGCTATGACCAAGAAAGGTGAATGACTCATCCGAACTTAAAACTTTCCACTTTATCCATTTCTGGTGCCAAAAACTAGGGTGTCCTTCAGAAAGATGTACTTGACCGTTAAATTTCCCTGAAGGTCAAGGTCATTGTCAGGAGGGAAATTCTACTCCTGCGCTTAGGTATAATTTCTTTCAAATTCACGGTTTTCGAGATTTTTTGCTGTACCTGGTCTTTTTTAACACACTGTATATACCAATTCCTAATAATAACAAATCGCCTACATCTTTTTCATAACTTTATATCTATGTAATAACTGATCTTGTTCCTCTCTGTAACGTAGACACTCTGTGACGTGGATGGTGTACCTATCACCTATCGGAAACCGAGCTCCACACATTTCACACTGCACCCTTTTGTTTTGTTGTCTTGATGGAGCAGATGCGACATCGTCATCGCCGCATGTTGACGCGTGCGTCTGAAACAAATATAAAAATTCTGATATCCAAAAGATTTATAAAAACAACTCGTGGACTGACTCAGTGCGCTATTTTAAACGATACTTAAACCCGGTAAAACATCACAAATATCAGCTGATCATTTAGTGACATTTAAAATACCCCATACCGTCAAATACTGCAACAAAGCTGACTACGATACTCGTAGTAATTTTTTATCAAGTGTAGACTGGCAATTTTGTTTAAACCCAAGTCCGTTGATTTATTCTACAAAAAGTTATATGAAGTAATTGATAGATTCATGCCATTACGTATAATAAGAGGTAAATTTCCCACCTATTTTAAGACTGAAACCATAAAAACGATTAAGGAAAAACTTAAATATCATAAGAGGTACAAACAGTATAATGACATACATAGTCTCATGTCACCAATTCTATACGTTAAGGGACAAGTCTCAGGAACTAATGAAAAAAAAATTGGTGAGTATACAATGAACATCGAGAATGAGATTCCAAATAAAATAAACAAAATTTGGAGATATGTTTTCAGCAAAAGAAACAAAATCCTATACCTAGTAAACTCAAGGGTGATAACTATGATGCAAAAACTGGATCTGATATACACTGAAAACCAAATTTGTATAACGGCTTGTGTTCAATGAAAGGTCAGGATCGCCTCTTGGCCGTATCTCGAACATTCCAAGGCAAGGCGGTGATAATTTGTATTGCGAAACGTTATCTGTTACAGTTTCCAACCGCAACGCTGTATAAACTCAGGATGTGTTGATTTTATCACTATCGGTGGAAATGAAAGGTAATTCTAAAATGAAATACTAAGTCGCGTCAAAATTGAAATAAATAATTCTAATCTAAATTAAAAACGAAATACTAAATTGAATGTTCGAATATGCTTCCTTCTTGGGTTTGACATTAACCTAAACTATTGCAGAAGCCTGAGCGAACATTTTCTGGTGTAACATATTGACCTCGCTCTTCAGTCGGCTTCTATCTTCATTCTAGCATGCGTTGATACGATACACACTTCTCTCTCGTTCACATTGAACTCAAACCGTCAGACAAATTTTTCCCTGTATGTAATGCTTTTGCCAGTTATTTTGCTAGTGTTTACATTAACTCAAATGATTTGCCCATTTCAAATCTTACTTAGCACCATCATAAAAACAATTTCACGTGCCGATTCATCAAATTCTATTTAAGTCAGCTGGGCCTGACGAGATACCACCATTGTTTATAAAAAAATGTGCACTTGGCATCTGTTATCCACTACTTTTTTTTTCAACTTGTTAAATTCGAAAACATTTCTCAGTAAATAGAAAACAGCTTATATTACACCCCTTCATAAAAGTGGTGATATATGCTCTGTTAAAAATATAAGCCAATCAGCAAATTGTGTATTCTTCCGAAATCATTTACGAAATAATACTGGCTTTTTCCCCATGCGCTCCATTGAAACGAACTTGAAATCCAAGAAGATATTAATCATCTAGCCGATTAACTATATGCACCTAACTAAAGACATTAATAAAATCTGCGCGATATTCTCAAACGTTTTTTGATTTCTTATACAATATGTCTTCTGATGAAGAAGAACTATTATTATTATTGGCCTTAGCAGAAGATAAAAGGCGAAAAGGGTAAGCATTTTGATGATAATCATTAGTTACTAATAATTAATAATAATAATAATAATAATGTTTATTGTCAGAAAATACAAGTAAATATCAAATATTGTGCACAATAAACATAAAGCACCCAAAAAAAGTTTGCACTTGTGTTTGGGTTTGTACAAAATAAAAACTAATAGTACAGTCAGTGTATGGAAAAAAAACCGTTATATACTGTATAATTTGGTGAATTATTATGGTAATGTCAGGAAAAATATCCAGACAATCAGAACTAAAGTAAAAGTATGGATGTTAGTGTAAGTAAAATATTATTGATTTTGATAATGATTTTTCTGATCTACAATTTCGTGGAAGGAGTACCTTGGTTGTTGTAAAATCCATTTTTTTAGTTCTTTTTTAGATGATTTAATTGATTTAATTACTTTTAATGGCTCTGGTATGAAGTTATAAAATTTTGGTCCCAAGAAAAAAAGAGATCGTTGTGTAATGGTTTTTGATGTTTGTGGAATACACATTGAATTTTGATTGAATCTTGTTGGGTAGTTATGAATGGTACGATTAAAGTATTTTGAATATTTGAAATAATGTATTAGACCACATCAACCTTTTTGTAATTATTATTCATAACTCCCCCCTCAAGCCAAAATTCCGTGAAGTAATAGAGGATCAAGAAGAGCATAATATAGATTATATAGATATTTCTTATCTAGAATATCTCTGAAGTACCGGAATTTTGGAATAATACATCTCAGTCTCTTCACAAGGTACTCTGTATGGGTATCCCATTTTAAGTGTTTGTCCAAAATCACGCCTAAGTATTTTATCGGCTGACTGAATCTCTTTGAGACCACTGCTTGTATGAACTTCAAGTTTTTTAAATTGTGGTGAGAGCCTGTCGTTACAAGAAAATGCTGTTTAGTGTCTTTTGTTGTAATTAATTGTCAAAGTTCTTTCCGAAAAGAAATTTATAAATGTTTTGAAATCATGTTCGATTGTGGTTTTTAGTGTATGCCACTGGTTGCTTTCATAGAGAATAGCTGTATCATCCGCAAAACCGATAACTTTACCTGTACTATTTATTTTGAACAAATCGTTGATAAATAGATTAAATAAAATGGGTCCTAATACTGAGCCTTGAGGTACACCGATATGATTTAAATTCATTCAAAAGTTTAACATCATAAGGATATTTTTTGGTTTCCTTATATAATTCTATTTTTTTGTTGATGGAGGTAATAATCCCCTTTGATATCGATGCTTGTCTTTTTATTTGTGTTCGTGGAATCTTTACTGTTTTGGTGAATTCAGCAATATGGCCTTCAATGCTAGACATAAAAAGGACAAATGCATTTTCAATATTAGGTTCGTTATATACTACAATCCAATTTTCATTGAGCAAGTAGTTATTTAGTTTTTCATAATCAATGTAAATTTTTGTATTATTCAGAGTCTTTTCAATTTTGGTTGATGTAATTTCAAGATCGATTTTGAGCAAATTATTAAAATGATCAGAAATTTTATATTTTAGAATTGCTGAATATATTTTGTCAAGTTCTAAACGTGAATTTATAAACATATGATCTATACAACTCCCACTGTTTCCCTCTACTCTTGTCATTTCGTTAATGGCTGACAGGTAACCATGTTCAGCCATTATATTTAAATAATCTTGAATATTTTGATTGTTATGATCTAATAATATGTTAATGTTAAGGTCTCCAATGAATAAGTTGATGTCAAATTTTCTACTGCTCTCTAGATAATCATGTAATTGACCGTTAAATGTTGTTACAGATATACAAGGTGATTTGTACACACCAATGATCTGTATACATTTATTATTTTTTTGAAGAATAACTCGTAAAAGTTTTGTTTGAGTTATATTAATAATTTCATACCCACTGTTCAAATTTTGTCTTACGTAAATCAGAACCCCGTCATTTTTATTAAAACTACCATCGTTATAATATAAATCATAATTAGGAATTTCGATCAAACTTGTATCATATAATGTTGGACCAGCGAAAGATTGCAAGCCGAAAGAATGCGGACAAAAAATTGCGAAGTTGTCAGATGTTCTACATAAAATGCGGTCCATACATATTAACATATTTAAGATATAGAATTGTTCCGCTGAATTTGGCAATGTAGCTGGAAAACCCAGGCCGCAGGTAAACATCCGGTCGCTGATTGGTCCAAAACTCTTATCTTATCTGAAACTAGAATAACGTGCCGATGGCACGGTCATTTATAAACCTACTCCCATAGGCGTAGGCAGTTGGCAAATACTTTGAAAATATAATTTACTGTTTAGTGGTGATAATGGAATTCAAGCATGGGAAAGTTATTCACAGCCAGGCAAGGGAAATAATAGCAAACGTGATACGTGCTTGCGATGCAGAAGCGGCTAACAATACTTTCGTTTATCCACTGGTAGCTAGAAATGCAAGGGCGGCATATTATACGGGTGTTAGTGAACGAACTATAAGTAAAATTAGAAAAGAAGATAAAGACAGGCAAAATGCAACCTCCACACAGCCTTTAGCTTCTCCCGGAAAAAAGAGATCACGCCCTTCTGTGATCCAAAAAATTGATGGAGTCGATTTTTCCATTATTCGGAGAATGATAGAAAAATTTTACTGTGATTTTAAAGTGGTACCTACTTGTAGTAAACTTCTAATCAAACTGAAGGAAGAAATGGAATTTCCATTTGGTAAAGAATCGTTGAGGCTGCTTTTAAAAGCAAAAGGATTTTACTGGCGTAAATGCCACAACAAAAGGAAATTACTAATGGAAAGACCCAGTATTTTACATTGGCGATACAAGTATCTTAGGTCTATTAAAAAGTTCCGGGAAGAAGGAAGGCATATTATTTATTTGGACGAAACTTGGGTTGATAATGACCTCACTTTCAAGAAATGCTGGCAAAGCGAAGAAATTATGGGTGTCCTGAGCAATATAAGTTCTACAGGTAATAAAGTTTCTTTCACCTCGATTTTGCTTATTATACATTTTTCTCAATTTTGGAATATTCTTAATAAGTGCTCATTTAATTTGTCTAATTGAATACATAATCCCTTGCAAGTATTTTTTTCTCAAAAATATGTTTTTTATACATAGTGATTCAAAAAGGTGTTGGCAAACTTAAAATAACACTAAAATGAGGCTATTTATTCATTTCCAGGACGACTTATAATTGTTCATGCGGGTTCGCAAGATGGTTTTGTTCCTGGAGCCTGTCTCATTTTCAAGGCTGGCTGTGCCACTGGTGATTATCACGGTCAAATGAACCAAGAAAATTTCACGAAGTGGCTTACTGAAAAACTATTTCCTAACATTCCTCCTAATAGTATTATAATAATGGATAATGCACCTTACCATTCAGCTTTGGAAGACAAGCCTCCAACTAGATCTTCTCTAAAAAGAGACATCATCACGTGGTTGAGCAAAAAAGGTATAGAGCATGATCCTAATGCTAAAAAAATGGAGCTTTATGAAATAGCTTGTCTACATAGGCCACCATCTGATGAGAAAAATTATAAGATAGATAATTTAATAAGAAGTTTCGGACACACCCCACTTCGAACGCCACCCTATATGTGTCAGTTTAATCCCATAGAGATGATTTGGGCACAAGTAAAATTTTTCATTAGAAGCCATAATACAAGCGGCGAATTTACTATAAAAAAACTAGATGAAATTTCTAATAAGGCCATCGCTTCAGTAAGTGCCAGTGACTGGCAAAAGGTTATTGGACATGTTATAAAAATTGAAGATGAATATTGGGAAAAAGACAGTCTCATTCAAGAAATACAGGAAGAAATAATAATCAACATAGGAGGTGAAAGTGATAGCAATGACAGTTCCTCAGACAGTGATCATGACTCTAATCAGGATTGAAACTATACTAGATTGGCTACCTTTTAGAATTTTTAGATATTCATTTATTATACTATTGGTTTGTGGCTTTTAGTATCTCAGTAGAAAGTCTAATTCTATGTGTTGTTTATGGGTTATTTCATCAAGAAATTACTTTTTGTTTTCCTATATTTTTCTATTCAGTCAGATATTTTTGACTTGTTGTATTCTATTTTAGAAGAATGCATAATTTGTTTTGCTGTTCAATCATAATGCGTACATAGGAATATTACTTGTTGCCTAAAAAATATATTTATTTTGTTCTCAATATTCAGTGTTTGTGTATATTTATTTCTTATAATGTATGTTTGGTATCACGTCATTATGAATCGCAAAAAAATATTAATACTACCAGTTGTAATAAAATATAAATTCAATTAATAATTCAAGTCTCTCCGATCTCCGCCTATGACTCCATATAAAATCGTCTAATGGTAAGGTTTTTTCATCGCATTTCCCCCTTTCGTCCCTAGCAATCTTTGGCTGGTCGATCAATACTTTAAATGATTCAGTTAGCACTATAACATCAAATTTAAAATCTAATATGTCCAACAAGGCATGGAGTTCATTCATATTTCTATGAATGCTCCTTATGTTCGTGTGAAAGATGTTCAATCCTGAATCAATATTATTAGAAAAACGTAACATTGTTGTAGGTAAATCGTCTAAAATATTTGTTTTAATTATTTCAGGTCCAGATTCTGTAATGTATCTACTCATACATATTCTAAGTCCTTAGCAATTTAGAATAAAATTCTTGATATATGATGTCTTTGTTGGTAAAATTTAAATACAGCACAACATTTATCTGTAGGGGAGTGATGTGTATTATAGTTTCTATTATATTTTTTGTTTGAATACACACAGTTGCAACAAATGGGATTAGTAGATTTGTTGCATGAAGTATCATCATGTTCTTCTCCACATTTGAAGCATACTTTATGACTATTACATTTCTTACCAGCGTGATTAAACTTGAAGCAATTTGTACATTGAATACCTCATTATTAGGATATACTGATAAATTTTGAAAACCAATTAAAATTTTCCCTCAATTATTATCAAATATTTGTCTGAATAGTTTACCTGACACCTCTGCGTAAACTATATTCATCTTTTTTTTGAGGAAGGAATCTAACATAGGTGATTTTTAAATTTTCTTTTGTTATAAAGTGGTTTTGTCACATAATATCTTCTTCTATATCGCGTTCTTGAAGTTTTTCTTCAGAGTGGTAGCCAACTATCTTTATTTTAGGATTAAACATTTTCGGTTCGGATATTGTATATGTTGATGGCAGATTCTTCCCAATTTCTTCTTTTAGCTTCTTATGGTAGCGGTCTTCTACATATAATTCAATATCACCATTTTTAGAGTTCTTAACAGTTTCAGTTTTGATGTTTATTTTTGATAAATTCAAATTTCTGCTCAGCTCGTTCTTAGTTCTGTAGTTAGACTGTTGTTGTTCAGGGGTAATGATAAGACTTTTAAGTGCTCTTTCTTTACTCTTTGATGGTGAATTTATAACTGCTTGGGCATATGTGGAATTGTTTGTTGTTGTTTCCTCTAACTTCTCAATTCTCCTAAGGAGTGTCTCAAGTGGTGTTACTATACAGTCCCTATCGAATATGTTTAAAAAAAAAAATATTCGGTTTTCGTTTGATAGGTGGTATATTAATGTTTCTTTTTCCAAAAGTAATGCTTGACAATTTTCTAAATCTTTCGTTTTTTCTGATAACTCTTGTTGTAATAATTTATTGTTTTTGCAAGTACTCACATGTTTCTTGCGTTGACATAATAGAATAACAGCTAATGTTTACAGTCTCATCTTCATCCTTTTTCTTTCTCCGAGTCATTTAGAATTTTGTATCACTGATGTGGCTTGTCAAAATTGTGTCAAAGTTGTATATGAATACAAATGGCCCAAAGTGGTTTACCTCTTGAAAATTGTCTGATCCCCAATTGTGGATATCCAAATGTAATCTAGGAACAAATTCAAGAGCAGCGACAAATTATTTTATTCGTAGTTTCGGCAATATGGTGATGGAACTATGGAAAAGGTAGATAATAAGTGTATGTAGGTATCTAGTTGAAACTGATATAATATAGAATAATTGTGTTTCAGGAAAAAGAAGAAATGGATACATGATATCAATAACAAAGAAGGGTATATGGAGAATATCATACTTTAATGCCCGAATTACGTAGATATCCACAACGTTTTTACGTATACTTTCGAATGACTCCCGATTGTTTTGATGAAATCTTAAATTTAATGTTGACTGTAAATTTGTTAATGCCAATATCTGAGAGTCCGCCTCTAAGAAGCCGGCAAGGTCGTCTACAATCAGCGTCCCATCAGGGAAGTGCTAAATACTCACCATGCTACCCGCATTGATGTACTATACAAAAGTTGCTTCCATCTCTGCGACCATAGTCAACCATATACAACGTTCATTAATTCGTTTCAGCAACCATTCGTAAGGTATAGGTCTACTCATTTAGAGACAGGTGACTGAACCATTTAATTTGGCTGCTAGCGATATTGCAAGTTAGCTAAGACTTTTGAATAAGTCCTTCGTAAAAATAGTTTATACAATACTGATCCACTATTACAAACAGTATAAAATTAACAAAAAGGAGTAACTCAAATAGAGGTCAGAAATTACTGACAAAACATGGAAAGTAGTTTACTTCCCGCATACCCACAGCAAAGAATTTTCCTTGCAGAATAAGAATATCCGGGCGCATTCCGATTTAATGTCTGATCGAAGCATCAGCTCGAAATCACATTAAATGGTCACGTTAAATATTCTACGCTTGAAAATCAATGAAAATATCAAAGAAATACAAGTATTTCTTGATCCGGCGAATTTTTCTAAAACTTGTTCTATATCAGAGGTTACGACAAGCTGATAGACCGGTGTGGAAATATTTTCCCAATTGTTTTGCATAGATTTATCTCAAAATCACATTTACTTTTTTCCAAATTTCATGTTGTCATTGTTACATATTCTCCTCTACAAGATGGAAACTCAAATTTTCAATTCGACATTTATTCTTTCGACTTCCATCACCACCTTTGTTTTTTCATATGGATGTTATATTGTAATTTCGTACGTTTAAATGGAATTTTCAGTCCTAATTTCAGTGATATATTTCCTTAGTTGGCCATGAATTTATGGATGGATGAAAATTATGAGGAAATATAAAGGTATGGCAAAACCTGAACACAAAATGGAAATTTTATTGATGGTAAAAACGATAATAATCATAAATAAGCAGAGGTAAATCATAGCAATGTTCAAAATGCCCATTATTCTGTAGACTTTTCTCTATACATTGTTCACGATTTATTTGTCTTCTTCTCAGAGTTCCAAACTCTGATGCTATGTGCAATTCTAGGTCTGGTCTGGTACACGAAACAATTGAAATCTGATTACATCAAGACCTACCTGGGAACTCCTGTTTTTCTGGAGTAACTAAGGTTTAGAAATTTCAATGAATTAGAAACTCTTTTCACCTGTGCGAAAATCTAAGATGGCTTCTATAAGAAAAAAATAAAGTTGATACTGGAGGACAGTAGACGAAACGTCATATTGAAAATCTAATTATGCCATTTTGTAGAGGAGACAAAGTGGCAATGTTAACGTGCAATTTACTTTGAAATCGCAAGCCAGGAATAAATTAAAATAATTTTGGAAAAATTCTGTTTTTTTCCGACTCTCTCCTTAAGTAGTTTGAATTTCGAAACTTGCTAAGCGGCAAGTTGATTACCTAAATACGCAACTTTGCCCCCGTTTAACGACTTCGTGCTTGTCACAGTTTCAGAGATCCCAATGGTGAGGGTCGAATTTGAAACGCCCTGTATAGAACTTAATCAAGATAATTGCACATTTATGGAAATTTTGCATCAAATCTGATACACAAATATATGACTAGGAAACATACCTCGATCGAATCAACATGAAATGACTTCAAGCAGATAGGACAATCTGTGAAATCAGAACTATCTGAAGTGCTAGTTGAAGGCACTACTTCAATTTTATCTTCGTCTCTTATTGCAGGAGTCCTTCTCGTTACCGTCCTTGGGCTAGAACCCACTTCTGGATCTTGGCTAGTGGTATTATCCATTGGTTGTCCCGAGGTAGAGACTGCAGCTTTAACAAGACATTCACCTTTCATTATATACTCGGAAAAAATCTCACAAAAATCACTGAATGCTCTCGCCGGAGCGAAGCGCTTAGTGGGGGAACTAAAGATATCGCAGCGCACGCCTATCGTAGAATTGACCATTTCATGAAATGGTCGCATTTAATGAAATGTGTGTTTACTGAGCATATCATGATGTGCGTTGACCAGATCAATAAATCATTTAACGATATGTTCAATCAAACCCCCGAATACTTCATGAAATGATTAAGCGTGTTTGATCAAATAGTAAAATATGTACCCATAGAGGCACTGGCAGTGCTTTGTTTAAATTTGAGCAGGGCCTTCATCAATAACAAAGGTGTTTTTAGTGAAGTGAAAATTCTAGTAACTGGTTACCATATGAGGAAGAAAGTGATATTAAAAGACTACGATAAAAAGGTACTGCAGTTCTCAAGTACTATGCGGGTCACGCAAGTACCGATCAAAACGTCAAAAAGCCGTTGAGTTCGGAACGTGTTTCACAGGTTAATACTTTATTCTTAAATTACATTATCATTCACTTATTGGAAGTCAAAATCACGTGCGAGCGAAAATATTGTTTGTCTATTGAACTACTATATTATTCTACATATGTAAAACTCATCGCATTTTTTCGCTTATACGTCAAACAATGCGGAGTAGGGTAACCACGCGAGGTAACAACTTGATTTGTGATAACTGGTATGTTCAAAAATTTTATTTTTGACACATTGCGCAATTCAAGGATGTTTCAATATAGTCAGTTTATTTTAATTTCCTAAAGTCACTAGTTTTAATCAAAATGGTTGTCGTACTTAAACAATAAACGAGTTCGTAACATGTTCTGATGTTTTATTAAATATTTTATGAACACCCTATTTTACGATATGATGAATCGTGGATGGCCAATGGTTAAACGTTGACGATCCAACGATATGGCCAAATTGAATTGGCTATTTCGTGAAAAGCTCGATCATTTCATGGAATGCTCGTTCATTTCATAAAATGATCAATTCTACGGTATGGCAACGACATATTCTGAAATCTGTGACATGTGAGGTGAGCTGAGCCCTGACAATGTGCGAAAAACCGTAAATGAATTGTCAGTTTGGAATCCGTATTTTTCTATCCCGCGAACACTCCTTATTGCATTTAAGTCAGTTATACACTGAGAACCAAATTTTTCTGACGGCTTGAGTTCAATGTGCACGAGAAAGAAGTGCGTATAGACACATAAGTTAGAAAGAGATAAAATCCGCCTGGACAGCGAAGCTCATCACCGCATTGCCTAGCAACGCTGACGCAGCGCTGTCGCAAAATCTAACAACTCAGGATGTGTTGATTTTATCACTATATGTGGAAATCAAAGATGATTATAAAATAAAACACTAAGTCCCATCAAAATTGGAATAAATAATCAAAATGAAAACAAAATATAAAATTAGATGTTCGATCAGACCTTTGACAGTAACTTAACCTATTGTAGAAGCATGTGCGAACATTTTCTGGTGTAACATATTGGCGACGCGGCAGATTGCACGACCATCTGCGTCATCGTTGCTAGGCAATGTGACCATGACCCTCACTCTCCAGCCGGCTTCTATCTCTTCCTAACATGTGGTGATACACACTTCTCGCGATTCTCTCTCGTGCACATTGAACTCAGGCCGTCAGGTTTTCCCTGTATAAATGAGATATACGGGTCTGATGTTCTTAGGTAGAATAGTTTTATTTTTCGATAAAAACAGAATCAAGTGTTGTATTTGTCATTCCGACTAAATTGGATTGATCAAGCCTAATGTACATAAAACTTTCCATTTCGACACTGTCAATGTTATTTATATAGCTTGCAACTATGCCTACCTACAGTTTTACTTGCTCTACTACCAATTCCTCTTCGTGGTATAGATGGAATGACCCGCCTTGGATATACAACTTTGACTTCTTCAACGGGTACGTTTTCCACAGATTCATCATCTTCAATTATTGGAGAATCAATCGACTTTTCAAACCTTGTACATAAAAATGAGAAACATGATTCTAATGCGTCAAAAATAAGTAAACGTCTTTATCGAGTAGGCCATTGCAGTTAGACATAAAAATCGTGCGATGTAATCCAGAAGCCCAATGCCGTAATGTATGCAAATTTGCCAGTTTGAATACAGAGAAATATGAGAAAATGACATTTTTTATGGGTATACTTCGGAAACTGTCATCGAACACTAAATACGAGTAATTCCGAAACTAGTCGTTGTAGAAAAAAATATAAAGTAGTAAACTGTCAAAGTGGTAAGATTCATTTGTTTTGTACTTACTTCTCTATCATTTTCTCTTCTCTTTTTTTTATCTCTTGATCCTCCATCAACTTGTCAAATATCTCATCAGATCTCTTCTTTCTGAATGTACGACCTCCAAATAAGCTGCTGCGCTTCATGATCTCGTCGTTAGTCAACTTTTTTGGTCGCAATGTGGCATTTGTTTTTGCGGCCTCATTTTGTACTAATAAATAATATAACAAAACATTACAAAGGACAACGAATTAACTGCAATTCGTAATTTCTCTAAAGTAGGTCTGTGGGACGTCTGTTTTTCTGTTTGTCATTATGTCCGTTTGATCACCGAGAAACAGGATCAGAAGAAAAAACAAAGAAAAATAGAACTATTTTACCTGCCACGCCAATTGGTAAGGAAATATTGTAATCGCCAAAAATTCTGAGAATGAGACAAGTTTATTGGATGTTACCGATACACCCTAAAAGGAAAAAAATGAAATTTACTGAAGTTTTGGCCACCTTGGTGGCCTTTTTCAGTGTGGAATTCATGATTTTATTTATGCCAATTAGGCCATATCTATAAAGCAGCTCGAATCGTCAGCCATTGCAGACTAAGATCTTCAAAGTACCATCTAGTAGTGGGTATAGACTGAGAATAGTCGCTATGCTTCCGTTTGTTGTCCATACTGATGAGTAGCCAAAAAGCACGAAACTTCGTAGTTTTGTTTTGACCGCGTGTGGAAGCAGGCGTGTCCGCGGATATTAGAAAAAGAGCAATATCGGTCAGTGATTCGATTCACGTTTTTGGGAAACAAATAAAAAAACGCTTGGATGCTTCTTCGATGGCAACCGTCAAAAATTGGTTTAACGAATTTCAACGTGGTCGCACGTCGGTGTTTGGTGAGCCACACCCAGGTGCCCCGAAAACGCCTACCACGGAGGATAACGATTGAAGGTGCGCGAGATAGCTGAGACAGTAGGCATCTCAAAAGACCACGTGGGTCATATGCTGCATAAAATATTGCGCATGAGAAAGATGTCTGCGCGATGGGTGCCGCGTTAGCTCATTCCGGACAAAAAGCGCAACCGTGAGACCGCTTCAGAGCAGTGTTTCCTGATGTTTAATCCGAAGGAGACTGATCTATCGACCGGAAAGGTGATGGTCACCGTTTTCTGGGATTCATAGGGTGTGATCTACATCGACTACCCGAAGAAGCGCAAAACGGTCACAGGACTGTACTATGCCGAATTATTGGGCCGATTCGACGCCGAATTGCAAAAAATATATCAAAACCTGTGGTTCACTTTATTAACAGCTAAATAAAAGCTTGTTTTTAAGATGTTTTTTTATTTTATTTATTTTTTACTTTTTAGTACTTATGATATCAAATAACTAGTTTGGTAATTTCTATATAATTTTCATATATTTCATTTATATATATTTGTATTATAAGATTTCGGTAGATATAAATCATATAATTTGAACGACGTTATTTGCTCATTGTGTTTCTCTCATATTGAATTTATAATCACACGTCACTTTGCTTGTTATATTTCTTTCATAAAACCCTTTAATTGGATACTTATATGATAGGGGTGACTATGGCAATTATAAACCCCATCTTTGGGCAACCACCATATTGGATTTAGAATGACGTAACTTTGCTTATTACGTTTCTCTTATCAAGCCATTTCATATGATATCCATATTATAGGTATGACTATGAAAAATGTAAATCGCCATTTTGCTCTTTAGCAGAATTCGGCCATCCATCGAAACCGGATGAGCGCTAGGACGCTTTTTGTTCGTGAAGATACAGTATTGGAAGCGTTAAACTGTACAAGATTGTTGCGTCCGCAAGCAGTGGTAATCTTCAGGTCTCTCGTCAGAGAGTAAGTCGCTGCTAGTCTTCTTTTTCTCAGCTCCACGGCAGAGATAGGCTTGCCACACTGAATTCCTGCATGTACAGTGCTACCATCAGCAAAGCTGCTGATTGTGTTTCTCTTATCAAGCCCTTTCATTTGCTACGCATATCATAGGTTACTATGGAAGTGATGAATCGCCATTTTGTAGCATCCGCCATATTGGAGTCCAAATAGCCACAGTTAATCTATTTTGTACCGTGACGCAAACCAAACGTGTATACAAAAGTTACAGCTGAAATCGTTGAAATTAACTGCTTCAAAATTCCTACGAACAAAAACCGAAAAAAAGAGTTTTCGAAGATTCAGCCACCCCTGACATTTTCAGAATTTTTTGGAGCGGTTTTTATGTTAGCATAATTAATTGTCATATCAAACCTTACCTGCTTTCTCTAAAGGATTTCTATCTTCCAGATCTACAAATTCATCCTCCAACTTATTATCTTCAAGTGGAGTCAAAACTCGAGTATAATCAAAATTTCTGATAGTGGTTCCACTATTTTTGTTATCCTCAACATCCTTAGTCGGAGTCGGCTTACTCTTTTTAATGGCCGATTTAACTTTGCTTTCTGTATCATTGTTGTTATTATTGTTTAGGGTGTGGAATGGTCGATCATTGATTTTTGATCTCTCTGTTGGAATGGTAGATTCGTTGCTATCCTCATCACAATCTGCATAGCATTTTCTTTTGGTGAGTCGGCCTGATCGACTTATGTAGGTCCCTTTTGTATTGTCATCAGCGCCCTTGAATTACAATATGTCAAAGAAACTGGGAAACTTCTTGAAACTAGAGGGACTGAAACCTATTGTATTCAGGATCGGTAAAGAATCAAAGAGATACCATAATGGATATCTACAAGCAAGATGGAGAGACAAACATATTTCATTTGCTCTAATACACGTGTTTCCCTCTATATCTCGCTCACAACAATTATAATATCATTTATTACCTAACAGGATAAGGGCCATTTACAAGGCAATATTACAAATTACAAATTTCATTAAAGTCTGAGCACATTCACTGTGTCTGGTGACTTTAAGACAAGTTCGTATTTGCACATACACAAAAGAATAGTTCATCATCTCAAGAACAAAATCTAGGAACGTAAAAGGGTGTTTCGGATAACAATTCAGATGAATCTACTAAGTAGCTCATGAGCTTATACAGAAAAATAATTGAACTATGTTTACATCGGTTATTTAGTGAGATTAGCGCAAATCTATTTAGTGTTCCCCTTGAGGCATCCCTAAAGTAGCCGAATATACTGTTGAGACATGCATCCATTATAAGTTACGTACAATCGACGACAAGACGAGAATACTTTTATGTATTGATTAGCGAAGCCAAATCTGTACAATTTTTTTTGGGGAACTGAACGAACCAGTGTATCAAAAACTTTTGCAATATATGTATGTATATATTGTAACATATCTCATTTAAATGTATTTTACTATTTTCACCTAACTGTCTGTTGCAAATAAACATTATTATTATTATTATTATTATATGACATCTATCTGACCTGGATTAGAAACCGACTAAATATTGTTAAGTCTCTTATTCATAAGCCCATGGACTTGAAAAATATGCATGAAAATGTCTTCCAAAAGCTTAGCAAAATTATGGAGGGTACACATTGCCCGATAATTGATAAATTAATTTTTGTCTCCTGATTTGCAGACTAGAAAACCCTAGTTTCTTTGCCGCGGCTTGGAAAAGTTAAAAGTATTTAGAATAAGATTGAAAATAATATTCAATGCTTTGGACAATGCTGGAGAGCTTGCAGTCATTTTGGGCTTCTGATGCAGATAAAATTTATTTGCCAGAATTGGTTGATCCACTATGTTGAAAATAACGGTTTGATTACTATCTGAAGCATAAAGATGACCATCTACCGTTTTAAAAAATGAATCAAGAGCTTTAATAAATGATTATGGATGACTGTAAACCATATCCTGGAAATTCATACATCCAGGAATGGCCAAAGACCAAAAAGACAAATGATTGGATCTCAATGCCAACACAAGCAACTCTAGCGAGTAACAAGCTTCATTTATTTTCTTCCGCTGTTTTTGTCTTTTCTTTTAATAATAATTGTTATCATGCTTTGCATTTTCTTTTATATTCTTTATAATAGCAGGATTATACCAACAAGTGAAGGTGTCAGCAGTGGGACAGTTTGGACAAAAGTGGAATACAAAGTGTAATTACTTTTGTGTTCAAGAGAACACAACCAATGCTTTTCAAAAGAAACTATTTTGCCAGTACTCGGGCAGAAAATGCTACTAGCGTATTTTTTACGTGTATCTATCACGGTAGAATAACAGCTATTATCTAGTGATATTTCAAGACTCTCCATATCAACAAGTGACACATAATTAATTCTGAGAGATCCGTCAGCGCCAGGTAGACAGATCCGTACACTACAGATTCATTTTGTACTTGCTAACAACTCTTTTATTTAGAAAAGCTCCTTTGCATGAAAAAAAACGCTACAAGCAAAATGGCTACTAATGATCATGACTACATTTCCAGTCAGGTAGGAATAAAATAAGATAAACAGTTTTTGACTATGTCAATCATCTCATTTTAGATCTTAAAACAACGTGTGATTTTAAAGAGCAATGAATCAGCCGAACAATTAATTCAGAATGCGTGGCAGTATATGACCAAATTGATAGAGGTTCGATTCCCTGAGTTAGTTCTGAACATTACTCATGCAATTGTAACAAGTTAGACATAAGAAAAATATAATTCAAATGTACAATTATATTATTAATTTTTATGATAGGTTCTGCATATACTTAACCTGTATTTGAATTTCATTACACTGATGACGGACAATAAACCAGAAACACGTGTCTATATTATTTTCACAGGTAAAATTACAGCTTATGAAAAGGACATCACAGTTCGTTCTGTTGATTTACACTGTAATCAATAAATCCCAGATGTACTATAATAATTTTCTAATAAAAATTCTTCATACATTTCATTGTCACATTTTCGTCATATGTGAACAACAGCTCTGAATAAAGTCCTGAAATGCATTATAGCCAACATTACAGACTAATACAAAGATGTTGCTTTTGTGATCAGCTGTTCACCTCAGTACACCTCAAAACAAAAATGAATACCCGTGAAAAATACCCTAGTCGCTAGTTTCCAACTGCCGGACAGCATATTTGAGAATTTGTGATAATAGGATAGTAATTTCAAATTAGCTGTCATTAAGACTTTAAGGAGAAGAAATTGAACACACTCATACTGAGTCTATTTAATATAGATATTTTTATCAAAAAATACATACAAACTAGATAAAAATGAACAAGAAACTATTTTTTTCCTTTAATCCGGTACTGCACTATTGACTGATTATATATTTCAAGCAATTTCCCAACATTTCTCACTACTTCGACTGTCTCCTTTAGCCTGCCCTCACTATAGGTGTATACAGAATTTATTTTTTCTTCGTATCCATTTCCAAATGAAGTGGAAATGTAAATTTTTATTTCACAGTCTCGTGAAAAAATAGCAGGTAAATGGATGTGGCAGGTTATTGGTATACTATGAAACTTCATTCATTCCAGTAGTCAGACACAATATAATCCACATTGTTTGTTATCTTTTGCTGTCTGTTCACTGGATGGGGCTCCAGTCATATTTTTGTTTTGTTTAATTGCAAGAGAAAAATTTGATAGCTTCTATGGCTAAAGAGAAAAAGATTGATAATGACCACGCCATATGACACTTGTCCGACGTTTCTAAATAAGTATCTCTAACTACATGTCATTTATTGCACAGTAGACATACTATCTTAGGTCAAATCAATTGTGTGGAGAAAAAGAAAAAATGTATACCTGTTGTGAATAAATAAATAAATATTAGTAACTGATTATTTTATTCCTGTCTTGATTTCTACATCAGATAGTTTGAGACACCAATGAAGCTAGATAATGTGACTCATATCAAAATACCAAGTCAAATTAGTGATGGTATGGATATGTTGCAAATCTGATTCAAGATTTGGTATTCAACATTAGTCATTATTAAGTCAAATACTACTACAAACAAAATCCAAACTTACCTCATCTAAATCAGTTATCACCATGGTTCTAAAATTAGATCTATCTGTCTTTTTATGTGGTGTTAGAGTCTGCTTCACCTTGTTTAGTGTTGACCAATGCCTAGACAACATTTTAGCTTTAGTTTCAACATCAGCATTACAAAATGCATCTGTATGTTGTATGGCAACGAAATTAGGCCGAATATGTATTGGCCAAATCTCACAGTTTGACATAGGTGGCATATCAAGATATCCAAATTTAATTTTAGTCGCGTCTAGTAACTTTGGCTTCTCCAGTCCATTCAATTTATTGTCCCGATTATTATTTTTTTCAGAAGCTTGGAGTATTTCCTTGTTTGGAACACTTATGGTAGAGGGGTCACACAACTCTTCTGTTAGTGATTGTATATCCTCTTCTGCAGCATCCCTAGTATCATCATCCTCAAAATTAAAAGGGTCACTTTCGGCAGTCTGTTTCTTGTGTTTATCCTCTTCACTTGATATTTTTGACAACCTTATAGCACGATATGCTTGCCTTATTTCTCGGGGAGACATGTTTTCCTCGAACAAATTTCCTTCTATGAAGAAAAAAAAGTGTATTTTTTAAACCTACGATTTGTAAGCTGTCATGCAGCCATGTGTTATACCTTTGAGACATTTTATTGATTCTTCCAGCTCTTTATCTTCCATTTTTCAAAATGTGGGTTCAGCCAAAATTAAAAACGACACGACGAAAATCAAATATACATAAAATTTGAGGTTAGTTTGAATGGTTTGAATAAAATAAAGACAAAACTTTCCCACCTTTTACAACTGACTGCTTGACGCGGCAGGAGTTGCCAGCTTTTTACTAGATGCAGCGAAACTCCTAAAATGGGATATTCCACAATACTCGATTGAGGATTAGGCAGTATAGCGATTTTACTTTATATTATTGAGAATGCAGTAATCCGCATACATTTTTAAGTAAACAAGGCCACCAATTATTTATAAATATGTAAACGTTCACCCTATTCGGTTTTTACACTATGGGCACAGGGGCTCAGCACGATACACTGAAGATAGGATGTTGCGCATGTGGGCGGAGCTTTTCACGTCACCCAGAGAGCTGTCGGCTAGTGGTTACCAGTTTCAGGGTTGTCGTAAATACTATATAGTGCGATTTGTTGGTGATTTTTGGTGGTTTTGTGACTTGTTGTATTAGTTATACATATTTTATATACCCTGCGATGTTAGTAAATTGATAAAAATGGGGTGTGCTGTTGTGGGATGTAATTCCAACAACCAATCTAAACGGAATGCTTGCAAAGACATGAAGTTCCACAGTTTTTCTCAAGACCCAAACCTTAGAAAAAAATGGCTACATCATACAAAAGGAAAAATCTAAGTCAATGTAAAAAGCGCTAGGGTTTGCCCGAAGCACTTTAGTGAAAGTGCCTATAAGGTCAAGTCGAAACGTACCCTTTTGGGTTACACCCCTAAAAGATAGTGTGCTCTAAAGGATGATAACATTCCTATGAAAAATTTACCCAAGTCTCTACCATCACCTCTACATCTGTTGATGGGGAAAAGCAGAAAAGTGCTTACGAAAAAAGGCAAATGGTTCAACTTATCCCCTAGAGTTTAAGTATAGAATAAGGCCATGTATTTTGGGGCGAAACGAAGGCTCATACTCAGAGTATTGCAGCGTAGAGGAAGAGGATACTCCGGACATTCCACTAACCGCATCATTAACGAATAAGCTGAATACACATGAAGTATCAGCTGACAATAACGAGGAAGTTTTAGTGGAAGAAATAGATGAGCTCGAGTATGATGGGCTGAAAAATTTGGCCGGCTTTGTTAGCCATAAACTGCAGGATGAGAGGTTGAAAAGTTCCTCAAATGAAACTTATTCCTTACACCATCTTAGTGAGAGTGGATTATCAAAACCTTCCACAGCTTTCATGAATCAAATTGAGAAGCTTAATAAGGTGTTTACTACATTCAATGAGGACGGAATAGTGACAGAAAAGCAAAATTTTATAAGCGAACTTCTGTTGAAGAGCAGCAACATTGACTGCCCTGAACAAGCTAAGAAACTATTTTTTAGGTCAAGCAATGTTTTTCCGGACCAAAGAACTGAATAAAAGCTTGAAAGACCAGAAAAATCATAAAAGGAAATGGAGAAAAATTGTGGCTTACACTAGGTCATTTCCATTTATTGTTATATCGCCAGCTTACTGCAAAAAGATGATAACTCCATTTTTCTACTTTTCGAGTTGCGTACATTTTCACACTTGCATGTAGTTAGTACTTAGGATGTCCTGTCAAATAAGGATGAATAAATATAGTGCAGTATTAACGTCATGAGCATGTTAATCCTGTTCCACAGAACATACTAGGTAATGTAGAAAAATCGTGTTTTTACAGTAAACTGACGATACATGCTCTATTGTGGAGCTAGAAAGTCGTTTGATCTGTAGCCTATGAAGTAGGAAATACAAGATTGAAATCTTTCATTAAAATCCACCATGTTTTTAAAAAATTCAATGTAGCTAATGTCACTCGCATCGCTAAGACGAATCCAACGACACCTCATATGTGAAAATCCGCCCAGTCGTTTGGCCTGTAGGTGAAAATATGCACGTTATCCATATCAATCCAAATGATAATCACTCTCCGCGTGACGTCATGCGCGCCGGTGGACGAAAATCGAACAGCGGAGCATCCGGCACTGGGGGCTCAGTGCCTCGGCTACATGAGCACCCCCAAATACCTAGAAGTCTTAGGACGGTCCCCGGGGTGTACCCTTTATTTCAGGTTTTAATCAGGTTTAATTAAACCACAATACAATATGGCATCGCTGACGACGTGGCGACACAGATGACAGAAGGGTTTATCTCTGGATGACAGTGACTGCCAAATAAACATAACCTAGAATATCCAAGCCCACTCTGCTGCCAGCAATGCAAAAATATAATAGTAATTTAATTTATTTATCATAGTACCTACAATTATACAAAATGGAAAACATAACGAAACTTGTTCTATTTTTTGGAACGGCATTTACGTGTTCATTTATTATAGCTGTAAGTTTTAATTAAGTGATACACTTTCTGAAACTGTAGTTGTATTGTTTTTAGATTTGTATTCTTCTAATTGCAATATCTTCAACATTCCCTAGCGTTAAACGAAGTCGCAAGGAAAAACTTTTTTTAGATCCGAAAGCAGGTCAATTCAAAAAGTTTCCATCAATTGAAGAACCACATTCTGTGCACCTGAGTGTCATAGTTCCTGCATATAATGAACAAGACAGACGTTAGTATACCATGATAATATTCACCTTGATTGGTGCCATATATATTATATATCAAACTCCTAAGGCACTTGTCAAATATTGAACAGCTTATCATTGCTTAAGTTCTAACACTGCAAAACTGACAACTTTTTAGGAGAGCAAAAAGAACCGTGTTTATTCCTATTGACATGCATATTTTATAATCAGGAAAACTAATAACAGCTTGTATAAACATTCACCCATTCCTAAATTTAGGATAGCCTCATTTATCATCAGATTTATTTTTATGGTAAAGAATTGTTACTTGGTGTTAGAACTTAAGCATCATATGTACAATTATTCAGCTGTATTACCTTAATTCAAAATTCTTTCTTACATCTGAGCAGTACAAGAAGGGGATATATATAGGGTGTCTCACATAGAACTGCAGCAATCTATTACTTAAGAAATTGACAATAAACGGTTATGAAAATTTGAGATTATAGTATGACTGATAGCTATTTGGCTAAAATAATTTTGGTTTACCAAAGTTTGATATCATCTTGTTTATTTTAAATGGAACACCCTACATATTATTCAATTTTTAGATTCTAAAGAATGGCGCAGGATCACTGTACTTGATAGCTCAAAGTTTCTCAATCACATTGATGATTTTGAGGTATCTATAAGATTATTGTACGTAAATATATATTCAACTCCAAAAGTGTATTTTTTTTTGTAGTGCCTCCAATGCTGAATGAATGCACGAGATTTTTGGAAGAGAGATCCAGCAAAAATGAATTTTCATATGAAATCATAGTAGTAAGTGATGGGAGCACAGATAAAACAATAAAAGTAGCTCACAACTACTCAGAGAAGTTTGGCACTGACAAGATTAGAGTTTTAGAACTGGAAACTAACAGAGGAAAAGGAGGAGCAGTTAGATTGGTGAGCAATTAAATTTAATACCATGTACATGAGGAGCACTATAGAGCATCACTTTACTAGTTGCATATGAGATGTTTTCTAGAACTCCAAAAATTCTGTGTCTGGCCCTAGTACCTATTCTAGACAAAGCTTTTTAGCCTTGCTTCCAGAATTGTATCAGGTACTCTCTATTTTATGATTTAGTTGTTAGTATCCAATTGGTCCTCTACAAAGGTCTACTTTTTGCGTGTCCAACACAGACAGAGATAGAGGAGGCATTGCCCCTACAAGTTTTGTAATTATGCTACCTCAATGTACCCGAGATGAAAAAATGTCTAACGCGTCTGCTCGCGGCGCACGACGTTTCAGTTAGAACAAATTAGAAAATCATAGACTTTATATTATGTTGTGACGTCGTGTGTGTGTCCATAATTAGATATAAACAATTACCAACCTAGTTTCTGGCTGCATGGCTTAGTCCTAAAGCCAAAAAAAAAAAAAAAAAAAAAAATATTTTTAATTTCCATTTTTGTGATCAGAATATGGAATATACTTTTTGTTTGTATGTTAGTAAACTATCTTTTTTGTGTATGATGTTTTAAATGCAGTTGTATAAAGGAACTCTAATCTTTATTGTGCAATTTCCTGCTGATAAGTTAAATTAAATTAACTCGACATAAACATAAGCAAATGTAGAACCTTGAGTTTTTCCCATAAGGCCAACCCCACACATTTTTCTTATCATATCAACAACAATAAAATAGAAAGAAGTCAGTCCTTCAAAGACTTAGGTGTAATTTTTGATAGTAAAAATAAGCTATTGGAATATTGTATTAGAAATTGGTGGAGCTTTGCAGACCTAAGGAGTCCCAAAATAGTATAAATTATGTGTATTGACAGGTGATTTTTAACCTGTACTGTAATTGGCATTTATCTGTTTTCCAAATGTCTTTGGTATATTTAGTAACTGTTTATGATGTGTTACTAAAGTTTGCATTTTATATAGTAACTATGTAACCATAGACAACGTTTTTTGTCTCTTATTTTTTTGCATTTTATACCACATATATGTCATGTCTTTGCTATATCAGTTCTAATTGTATTGTTCCTGTGATTGGGTGTACTCTGTTGGAATAAAGATTATTATTATGAAATGAAACGTATTTTTGTCATTATTTTGTGTGAAGGGGGGGGATGCGTGAGGACTACAATAATAATGCATAAGTTTAATTGTTCATATCAAGAGTCTTGCAATAAGTGCAAAATTTCTCTAACTCCGCCTATGGTGCCAGACTAGGAATAATAAAACATACATTTGGAAGATAATTAAATGGGTGTTTATCTATTTTGTAACTCCTTGCAAGTTGCAGCAGGCTTCATAATCATATTGTAACTGCTTTTAAATTCTGCAGGGAATGTTCAGCGCACGAGGAGCAATGCTTCTTTTTGCAGATGCAGATGGAGCTACAAAATTTTCTGACTTGACTAAAGTTGAGCAGGCGATGAATGACACCATAAGCTGTAAGTATCATGGTATCTTGGCGTGATGAAGAGACATTTGCGGTGGCGAAAAAATGTTTAAATATAAAGGACTCGATTGGTTTTCCATTTGTCTTCACTGAGGAGTGTGTTGACTCAATGGAATCACTGAATGGCACCCTAAGTCAGCAAATTATTTTGCATTTGTGTATAAGTTGATAGTTTTAATTTTTGTAATGTTATCCATATACACGATTAAACAGAATCAAGAAGCAATGCATTTTTTCACAGGTGATTACCAAATAGAGCCATCTGAAGCTGCTGCTAAAGCAGGCATCTCAATAGGGTCTAGGGCCCAGCTAGAGGAAGAATCCATGGCAACTCGTAGTCCGTTCCGTAATTTTTTGATGCGCGGTTTCCACTTCTTAGTATGGCTTTTGGCGGTCAAGGGAATAAAGGACACTCAGTGTGGTTTTAAGCTACTTACAAGAACTGCTGCTAAAGAATGTTTTGGTAGTCTACATGTAGAAAGGTGGTAAGTGGATAGAACTGAATGAGAGCCAATTTTATTACAAGAGAATAATCAAAATAAATGGTATCCAGAAGTTTCAAGAAATCCAATATTCATGAAGCTGTTTACACTTAGGTTGCATATTTCAGGACAATATTGCTACATTTATGGTATTGCTTTCAGGGCATTTGATGTAGAGCTCCTATACATAGCACAATGTTTGAAAATCCCCATAGCAGAAGTGTCAGTGAACTGGACAGAAGTTGACGGATCAAAAATAGTACCAGTGTGGAGCTGGTTACAAATAGGAATGGACTTGGGACTAATCTGGCTGAGATACACAATAGGTGCTTGGAAAATCAGAGCTCAGATGCCAAAAGAAAAATAATGATGTTTTATATTCAAACATCTCAATAACTGCATTTATTTTTTTGTTCTCAAAGATTTTCTGTATTGTATTTACTGGTTTTACAGATAAGTAATAAAAGTGATTCTTCCCTTAACTTTATTTTTTTGTATGTTGGTTTATACATAATGAAAAAACTTTTAACTTTCAGAAACATGAAATTAAAGATGCTCTTTTTCAGTCTAAACTACTAAATAGTCAGAAACTGTCAGAAGTTAAAAATAATGTTTATCAGACATCAGTGCATTGATTTGCAAAAATATAACTGTAGTCACTATGGTTGCCAGGGAAGTCCTCTTATTGAAAACTATAGTTCCTTTGTCCATTACCAGTTTAGCACTGCTATACATTGACTTGATGTTGTAATGATCGATCCATATTATTTCTAGTGAAAGATATCTTGAGCTCCAGTTCACTATCTTAATAGCCAATACAGTGGCACATAAATATAGAATAAATATTCCAAAAAAAACAAGCAGAAATTCTGAAATTTGGATATCATTTAATGGTTCCAAAAAGTGCTCTCTCAATTACAGAGCTCTTTTATCAAGTGGAGAAATCAATGGAATTTGACATCTGTAAAATAGATTTAGGAGTTATGAATGAATTAATTGGCTATAGGACTAGGAGTAAATTTATTCCATTAGAGATTCTAAATTGTATGTTTATTATTATTTTAATTTCTGTAGATTAGCATCAAAAATGTTTACATTTTGATCCTGCAAAAAATGCAAAATGAAACTGTAATGTTTCTTGAAAGATTTTTTGTAGAGAGGTCCACTTTTGTAACCTTATTTTGGTACTGTTTATATGAAACACTTGAGAAACTTTTAAATGACTTTATTGTTTCAAAATTATAAAAGAACCTTAACGCTTTCCACCAACCCTGGGTGCTGCTTTAGGTACATTCTTGCTGATCTTCTGTTTTGGTGCAGGTTTGGCCTTTGCAGGGGCTGTTGCCTTCTTGACTACTTTTGTAGACTTTTTCTGTTCCTTAGCAGCACTAAAATGCAAAACACAGCATTGTATAAGTCTCAAACAAACAGCAAGTTCAATAGTAAGAATTTTATGATCTCAATATGGATTGAATGTTCTCGATTTATGCAGACTTAGCTGAAACTTGATGATGTGAAAACCTCATGATAACAATTTCATGCTCTAATAATAACTACTTGAATCACATTTATTGAAGTCTTAAATTTGTAACACAAATTTTAAATAGTCTAAACCATATCCAAATTGAAGTATAATTTTAGATTTATCCAAATACTGACTTAGAACCTAAGGGATAACCATTAAAGCAGGACCAGCAATTTGTGTGTAAGCATTAGTAGCAAAAAAATTATCTGAGATGAAATGAGATACCCTGGCATCATCCATAAGAATTTTCAACACATATGTTCCCACTCCCCACAATAATTAGTAAATCTACTTTGCAAAGATTAGTGTGTCACAGATGGTGCTGTAGAAAATTACATACTTTATCTAATCGGTATGGAGATCAGATATAGAGCTGTGACAAATTCTCATAAATAATGCCGGAGTATCTCATTTTGTCCTTGATAATTTTTGTAACACCAAAAAATGCACATGGTTGGCAATATTTCAGGACATACCTACAACTTTTTTCACTGAGCTCACTCAATTATTCGAATGTTAGAATTCAGAGTGGAGAACATACTATACTGTGCTGGTTAGGCTGCCCATGTTTGATTGCAAATATTTTCAGTTGAATGTAACATGCTATCATGTCTTTGGGAAAAAATGACTGGCCCACAGATAGCGTTCCATCATACAGACAATGGGGCCATCTAAATAATAGTTAAAAGCTGGGAAAAGCAATAAGAGATAAAAATCACTGTTAGCTCATCAGTCACTTGAGTTGCTCGGCCAAGTCCTTCAATCATGAAAGAGTTGTTCATTCTGAATGACTTCTTCACAGGCACATTACTATCTTTCAGTGGAATAAGTTATGGTGTAGGTCACACATTATTGGGTCTCCCTCAAGTTTAGCTCTGCACAACTGCAGCATGAAACATAATGAACAAGTTTAAGGGTGACCATCATCAATAAATGGACAAGACAACACTTATTGCTGAATCTGATAGTGATCACTTGGCCTATAATAACCTGCACAGTGTTGCAAACATGTTTTTAAATCCCTGCACATACAATGTTTTGAACTTTTCTTCAAAAATTTATAAACCAATGAATTTCGAACGGCAATATAGGATTTAGGTAGGAGTTTAGAAGCTCTAAAAGCAAGTCTACACATTCAATAGTTCACTCTCACCGAATTGCTTGCTCCCTTTGTGCTTTTCTAACTTCAGGCCTTTGATTCCTCTTAGCAATAATTTCGTTCAAGGAAGCGCCTACAATAGCTCTCTGGAACTTCTGTGTCCTCCTAGTACGTTTTTTAGTTGCTTCTTCCTCCTGACCCTTCTTGTGTTTACGCCTGTATAGGACGGTCCATGTAACCTTACGTGGATTCCTTTTCATTAGGTGGGCCCTTTCACATTTTGAGTTTAGGAATGTGAACGACTGAAAGGAGAAAGATTCAATGATTATAAAGCAATGATTACCAAATATTTGACTTACTTTGCCGTCCACTTTTACCATGGTTTTCCCATGGCCCGGGTATATTTTGTACCCGCTGTAAGCGCAAAGACCTATCCTGAAATCCAAAAATAGTATTACGAAAAGTGATTAGAAGAATCTAGTATTACAAAAAACACTACGAAGCCTTTTTAAGATAACGGATTAATGAAAAATTTACAGATTACTTACTTCATTGCTACTTTTTATTCTTCAAAATAAAAATTCGATAGCAAAAAGAACGCATGCGCGGAATATATAAATTGACATTACGGAAATTGACAACACAAAACTGACAGCAGCTGATTACAAGCTTTAGTGCCTGTCTACACCACGATTGTTTACACCATGGCAGGACCGTATGCTCCGCTGTTCGATTTTCGTCCACCGGCGCGCATGACGTCTCGCGGAGAGTGATTATCAAGTTCTCTAGAGTTCAAGTATAGAATAAGGTCATATATGTTGGGGCGCATACTCAGAGTACCTATTGCAGCGTAGAGTCAGAGGATACTCCAGACATTCCACTAACCACTAACCGCATCATTAACGAGAATAAACGGAATGCACCTGAAGTATCAGCTGACTATACCGAGCAAGTTTTAGTGGAAGAAATAGATTAGAGAATAGAATTTGGCCGGCTTTGTTTGCAATAAATTGCAGGATGAGAGGTTGAAGAGTTCCTCAAATGAAACTTATTCATGGATAGACCATCTTAGTGAGGGTGGATTATTTCATGAATCAAATTGAGAAGCTGAACAAGGTATTCACTACATTCAATGGGGACGGAATAGTGACAAAAAAGCAAAATTTTATAGGTGAACTTCTGTTGAAGACTAGCAACATTGACTGCCCTGAAAAAGCTGAAAAACTGTTTTTCAGGTCAAGGATGTTCTTCCGGATCAAAGAACTGAATAAAAGTTTGAAAGACCAGAAAGATCGTAAAAGGAAATGGAAAAAATTTGGTTAAACTAAGTCATTTCCATTTATTGTTATACCACCACCTTACTGCAGAAAGAAGATAACTCCATTTTTCTACTTTTCGAGTTGCGTACATTTTCACACTTACATTTTAGGATGTTCTATGGAATAAGGATAAATGTAGTACAGAATTTTCTATCTTTCCGAATTTCAGATGAAATTGTAACTTTAAGCTTTTTATTTTTATTCATATTTGTAATCCTCTGAGGAGCTATTACATCAGTTGCCTTGCTGCTGGTGCTGAGTAGCTCCTTGGTTTTAGGAAATTCTACCAGATTTTCCTTTTCAGGATTATCTCCTGTAACCAGCTGTGCTGTTGTATGAATAACTGTGTCGGATGACAATAATACAACCGGATGAATGTTTCCTTTTTTACACAAAATATCTTCCATTGCTTCTGCATACTCAAACTCTCTTCTTCCTCTTCCAGTTTTATTGTTGTTGTCCACATATTTCTTGAACATTCTCTTCAGATGTTTCCATCTGTTTTCACAATTTGATCCTGTTATATTTTGATTGGTTTTTTGTCTTAACTCCTTAGCAATTTCTTAATACATTCTTATTAAATTTTTAATTTTTAAAGACCCAACCAAGTCTATATTTTTTATATAGGTCCAAAAAAATAAGAGTCTTGGTGTAATTCCATTTAAAGGATTCCACTTCATCCTGGTCTTGAGAACATGAAGGAAATAGCAGAAACTCTGACAGATCTAACAAAATAGCAATTTTTTAGTTATTTATTTATTGATGGGTTAAAAAAACTTACCTCCTTTATCAGACATTAAAAAAAAAATAGGCGACACACTTGCTGGACTCGATAAAAAAATACTTAAATTCAAATAATAAAAATCAAAACAAAAACTCTAACCTTACTTTTGTGCAGAAAGAATTTGGTAGGTTTTGCTGTTCGCGGTCATTAAAAATTCCGAATTATTACAACACGCGCTTGCGCATTTCAAACAGGGGTACTTTATTTGTGTTCGGAATATGCTCTGGATTAGCTCCGCGAAAAAAGCTAATATGACATGAACATGTTAATCCTGCTCCACAGAACATACTAAAATATACATAATGTAGAAGAGACGATACGCTCTATTGTGGAGCTAGGAGTGTTTAAGCTATAGCCTGTGAAATAGGAATTACAGAGTTGAAATCTGTTATTAAAATCCACCATTTTGTTTTTTATAAAATCTCAATGTAGCTAGTGTCACTCGCACCGCATAAGACGAACCCAACGACACCTCATATGTGAAAATCCGTGGAGCCGTTTGGCCTGTAGGTGAAAATATGCACGTTATCCATATCAACCAGAGATAAACCCTTCTATCAACCCAAATGATGTACAACCGGTCGTTCCAGCGGAAATTAAAGGACGCAAAATTGGCTAACCGGTTGCACCGGTAGCTCAACCGGTGAATTAAAGAATATACCTTGTTTGAAAATGACAAGGCATCTGTCACAACAATTGTTATTAGCTGTCACTGATCCAGGCTCGAAAAATAAATAAAATAGTTTTCCATAACAAAGCAACATTTAAATAAATTATTCCTCTGAATTCCTGCTTATTCATCACTTGAGTATTCATGTGACGAAGGGAACACGCATTCTACTCATTGTTTAATTTTATCAAGATAAGTAATCGATCAGACATCATGGCAGAGGTAAGGAATGGAATTTTTTCTTATATTTCCATATTTTGACCTAATATTTTCAGCTAAAATTACACGAATTCAAAGTGAAAATGACATGTGAAGGCTGCTCTGGGGCTGTACAACGGGTTCTAAATAAATTAAAAGGTAAAGTTTTTAGTTCACATATGTTCATTTTGCTCTGGAAGAGACGATTATCATTAATAAAATAAATTTTGGTAGATAATCCGGACCAAAAAGTGGAAGATTTTGATATCAGCCTGGAAAAGCAGTATGTTAAAGTAAAGAGTAGTTTATCAGCTGATGAAATACTGCAAGTTATAAAGAAAACCGGTAAAGAAGCCGAATTTGTGAAAACTGAATAGACAGCCGAACAGGAAAAGGAGGCAAAGAAGACATAAACTAAATTTACGGTGATATATTGTTGGTATTTTTATATTTAATTAAACCGATGTATAATACTGGGAAGTTATGATTTACTCCAAAAGCATTTTCCTTGAACTACCTGTCACGTCAGCACCAGGAATGTGAGGTTAGGCTGTGTTCTGTGGATTAGTCGATAGGCTGACACATGACGGGTAAACAAATAATGACCTTCAAGTGAGTTTAGGGGTCGTTTGAAGATCGTATAAAGTGGCACAGGCACACACATCTACTGATGCGGCGGAATAGGTATTTTATCAGTTTGAAAAAGATATAACATTATTTGATCTCTAGATTGTCAACTGTGTCGCTGATCTAGATCGTCTAGTTTGCCGTATTAGTAAATTTATCCTGTAATAAATTATGTAAGTATATTTTGGATGGACTTTTTTTTATCAAAGCAGGCTAGTTTCAAAATTGCTGAAGGGAGTGTCAGATTGATAACTCGAAAAGTCTATTGAGAAATATAAGAAATGGCAGATACATGTCCTGCTCGGGTAATTGCTTATTCTAGTTTTAAAATAGTTTCTAATATGTTTTGGTTGACGAGATTTTCATTCATTGCCAAAAATGCTTGGCCTGTGGTGTCGCCTCAGCTGCAGCAAAGGTGCTTTTCGAATGGAGTCGGTAATTTTTCCAAGACATTGTTGCTCCAGTTCCAGCAAAGATGCTTCTCAGATGGAGTCAGTATTTTTCCAGGACTCCAATTTTGCGCTGCTATATGCAAGTATAGGTTTGAGGGGATGCATAATTCTAGATCAGTATATTTAATTCAGCTTCCAAAATTTTTTCAAGTGTACTGCTATAGGAGCTTTGAGCATTATTTGAAAATAAAAATGATACAACTTTTGTAGAATATTACAAGATATGACCATACAAACTCCTTACACCTACTATTAAATTTCTTGGCATACTTTATACAGTATGATTATGCATTCATCAAGTCTATAATGTCTACCCAAAAATCTATTCACAATTAAGTTTTAATGTTTTATTTTCTCTGCTATAATTTAAATGTAGGCGTTTTTATTTTTCACATTGAGGTGAGACTTGGACACTCATATTAACTAATAATAATGATAATGTTTAAAATACAAAATGTAAAAATACATGAAAGTGTACCAATAAACATGAAATTCTCAAAAAAAGTATGAACTTGTGCTTAAGATATAAATCAAACTTGAAATGTTTTAAAATACAAAAGATTTTGTTTTGCTCAAATCGATAATTTGCGTATCTTTAGTGATAGTAATACTAATTAGTCATAGGAGTACTGAATTTTGATGTCTATGCGTTTATGTATAAATAGTCTTGGCTGCCTTAGAATCCACAATTTATTTTAATTTAGTTCTGGTCCATTTTTGATTTGTATATGTTCTGAATTTGGTGGAATAATACAACATTTTTGGGCCATGAAAATAAAATGATTGTTGATTTAAAGTTTTATTTAATCTGTGTATAGTTGCTGATATTGTATACCAACACTATTTAGAAAGTTTGAACTTGAAACTATTCCCAACAGTAACTCTACTGTCCCTTATTATGTAATACTTGCTAGTACCACTCGAGAATCTTTTCACAGTAAAATTATAGTGATCATGATGAACTTTAATTGATATTTGTTACATGTGCAGTGTCCAGGTGGGATGGGTCGCAAATTTGTTGTGGGGGGTAACTGGAAGATGAATGGCACCAAAAAGCAGGTAGATGAGATTTTGGATTTTCTCAAAAAAGGCCCCCTGAATGCAGACACTGAGGTCATTGTTGGTGTGCCAGCAGTGTATTTAGACTATGTAAAATGCAATGCACCTCCTGGTGTTGAAGTGGCTGCCCAGAATTGTTACAAGGCAGAAAAGGGAGCATTCACAGGTAAAACAACATTTATATAAATAAGAAACGTTTATTGTTTGAGATATTTTCATTGGTTGACCTAAAAAATCAATCAATTGAATTAATGAAAAATTCTTCAAAAAAATGTTTTGCTGTGATAAACAATTAAACACATTAACGACCAGCGCTAAATTTTTGAAATTTGCTTCTGGACCAAGGTATTTTAGAAAAGTGTCTTCACATTAAAAAAAAATACTACAAGCAAAATGGCTGCTAATGATCATGACCACATTTCATGTTAGGAAGGAATAAAAAACAATTTTTGACTTTGTTAATCATCTCTACTTTTTAGAACTTGAAACACCTTATGATTTTGAAGTGCAGTTAAACAGCCATATTTATATTAAATTACACTGATGACACACAATTAGCCAGAAACACGTCTGTCTGTCTATATTATTTTTACATGTAAAATTACAGCTACAGGAAAGGACAACACAGACTGTTCTATTGACTTACCTTGTAATCAATAAATCCCAAATTAACTACAGTAATTTTCAAATGCAGATTTTCTCTGTGTACTTCATATATTTTATTGTCAAAATTCCCAGTCACTAAAAGCATCTAGATGTTAAGAACAGCTCTCAATGCAGTCCTAAGTTTTACCAAATTTACACCTATTCATTATTGCCAATGTACAGACTAATACGACAATGTCACTTGATAATAAGCTCTTTTTCCTCAGTAGACGTCAAAACTTAATGGATACTCGTGAATTAGAAAATAAAGTATGCTTGTAATTTAAATTGTTTATTACCTCAAATTGCGTATTTCTCCAAGCATCGATGTATTTAACATGGTTGCCAGTTATCTAGATAGTCTCCCCTTAACGTTTGTCTATCAGGTAAATGGTATTCCTGTAGTACAAATTATACGAATGACACTTGCGCGAATGCGCCCACGTTGGCCAACCATTCTATTAGTATAGGATCATACGTATTAGATCCAAATGGAGCAGCTTAGCCTATTTTGGAGTAATTGAAACAGATTGTCTCTACACTCATGATTAGTTTTTAATTGTATTGCGTTAATTTAGGCATAATGGAACAATATCCATTTTCCAAATGATTCAACCATAGGAACCGTTCTAACTGCGCGTCGACAACGCCACGCATTCATCGTTCGATATAACGACATCAAATACACGTCCTCACTTTTAATGTGGCTGTCACTTGGATTGTCGAAGTCTAAGTAAAATATTACTAGCACAACCAAATCAGACCAGTATGTAATGCAGTACTAAGCCTTTGATCTACTTTGCCAACCCCCTTGCACCAACACCATACTACTCCACATGCTTATCTACTAGTAACTGATTATCAGCTCCAGTAATGCAATGTACCTATTTGACCTTGCACATATATAGACAAACATAGCGTCCACTGCTCGAAATGTATCTTTTCGAGTACGGGATTCGAACTCGTGAGCCATCGAGCCGATGTTCTAGCAGTTCGTCGCTCTAACACACCTGGCTACCCATCCCCCGTAAGAACCGATATCATATTAACATTATGATTTCTTTAAAACAGGCGAGATCTCGGCGTTGATGCTTAAGGACATAAACGTGGGCTGGGTAATCTTGGGCCATTCGGAGCGTCGGCAAATCTTCGGCGAAACAGATGATTTGATAGCAGAAAAAGTCGCTTTTGCATTGGATAGTGGATTGAAAGTAATTGCCTGCATTGGAGAAACTCTTCAAGAGAGAGAGGCTGGAAAGACTGAAGAGGTAGTGTTCAGGCAAATTCAAGCTATTGCAAACAAGATCAAGGATTGGTAAGAACCGTTTTTTAAACTATTGGATTTGTTGGTGGGTTTAAGATGCTTCAACAACAGTTTGACCCAGAATCGATTGAGATTGTTCGAATCCAAAAATAAAGTGACCGCAATTTTTAATTAAGGTACTTGGAATGAAATTACTTGTGTTGGAAAAATATGAAATGGGAAGAAAAATTACTACATAATTTCACTCTACTGGGGCGATATTAGCGCTCCAAGTGGTCATTGTATAGGCCTAACAACTCTTAAATTCTATTTTTTCTAGGACTAACGTTGTGATTGCTTATGAACCAGTTTGGGCCATTGGCACAGGCAAAACGGCTACCCCAGAACAGGCTCAAGAGGTACACAAAGCGCTAAGAGGCTATATATGCGAGAAAATCAGCCCCAGTGTTGCCGAAAGTGTAAGAATTCAATATGGAGGCTCGGTGACGGGTGCTAACTGCAAAGATTTGGGAGCAAAGCCTGACATTGATGGATTTTTAGTCGGTGGAGCCTCATTGAAACCGGAATTCGTGCAAATTGTCAATGCTAGGCAGTAAGAATGGGTAGAATTCGTGATTTCCTATTAGGATTTATCATTTATGGATCTTTATGACATATATTTATTGAATATGGTTTACACTTAAAAAATATAAGTATTAATTTACTTGCGAGTTTTATTTTGATTTCCAGATTTAATCTGCTTCCATTTCAACTTAAAATCGTATTACATATCAGCAATTGCAAATTGACTACAGTTGCAATACTCAGTAAGGATGGGGTGCCCTACAGTTACTTTACCCTGCACCGTGGACCTTGCGGACACTCGCACCTCGTACGGGAGTTGTTGATGTGGGTGTCTCAGTAATTTCACAATTTATTTTCGAATTAAGCGGGTATTTTTATTTCAACATGAAGAGGAATATTTGGGATTAAACATGAAATAGGACGTCCGGTAAATGGCCACCACGAAATCTCTGGCACATAGTCAGCCTTCTTAAAATTCTGGATAACGTTTTCGCACAACTGTGGCTCTATTTCGTCGATAACGTGCCGTATCTCTTCTTTAAGGCGTTCAAATGTTTGTGGCTTGTTGGCATACACCTTTTCCTTCACATAGCCTCCTAGGTAGAAGTCCACTGGAGTTAGATCGCCCCATCTTGGTGGCCAATTTTGATCGCCAAACCGAGAGATGACACGGTCTGGAAACTTGGTCCGCAGTAACACCATTGTTTCGCGTGCTGTATGGCAGGTCGCACCGCCTCGTTGGAAGAACACATCCTCCACATCAATTCATCCAACTGGGGCCACTAAAACTCTGTTAACATTTCGCGATACCGCACACCATTAACAGTTACCGCAGTTCCATCTGCATTTTCGAAGAAATACGGTCCAATCACACCGCCACTCCACATTGCGCACCAAACGGTAACTCGCGGCCGATGGATTGGTTGTTCGACTATTACACGAGGGTTTTCAGAACCCCAAATTCGGCAGTTCCGCTTATTGGCGTACCCGTTCAGGTGAAAATGTGCCTCATCAGAGAAAATGATTTTCTTAGAGAAATCCGCATCAATTTAATGGTGCTCCAGAGCCCAATGGACGAATTCACGGCGCTGCGCATGGTCCGTCGGCTTAAGTTCTTGCGTCAGTTGAACCTTGTACGCATGCAAGCACAGATCTTTGTCAAAATTCGTTGCAGAGTGGGTCTGGTAAGGTTGAATTCTTGGCCACGATGCCGAATGGAAGTGTCTGGATTCTCGGCCACACTTTCCTGCACTGCGACTATATTTTCGACGGACCGACCAGGGCGGCGACGTACCCTGGTCTTTACTTTCAGCAGAGTGAATTTTGTAATTAAACGGCGAACTGTCGACTCATTTGGCGCATTATTTTGACCGAAAATTGTACGTATTTGCGAACTCTTCCGCGTAATTTTCTCCAGTTTTGTAGTGAGTTTTCACAATAATTAAACATTGCCCGTTTGAATACTGATCCATGACGTCTAATCGCGTGTGCTGGACACGACAGCTGTCATCAAGTAAACACCATACCATTTATACAAAAAGCACGGCAAATTCAAATTCGCCGCTCTTCTTTGCAATGATCTCAATCCTTGTCACTTGGATTTTCCATATAATATAAATTGTAATACAAGACTTTTGAACAGGGAACCCAATAAAACGCAGAATGCAAATAAGAAATATATTTCATAAAAAATTAACTACCGTTCACTGGAATATACAGTATAGTTATTTTAAACTCAATCAAAAAATTAAAAATTTATTGTTAATTAAATACATTACATCAGGAGGGCACATATAGCGAGGATGATTTTTGCATATTGTATGGGGTTAAGTTTGGGGACTTTTACAATAAAAAAAAGAGTAATTCGTTTTAAACTTTGCTCATAATTAACTATTATTTGAACTGTCCAAACAAAAAGATTATAGCACCATACTGTATATTAGGTTCAAATTAATGAATTAATATTTAACTTGCATAGAAATATTATCTTTAAAAAAATGAGTGTTTCCAAAACAACATCTCAGATATTATTTTGAAAGAAATAGGCAATATACGAAGCTGCCACGCGGTTATATGTATTTTGAATTCAACATATGCTTTGATATACAGAGAAATCAATATACCACTGACGTCGTAATATGTACGACAGAGAAGCGCGCGACGCGAGCAATACATGTATTAGACAGAAATAGAAGCACCACTTCATCTAGCAACTGGAGTGACGAGACCACAGACTCTAACATACGTATTGCACGCGTCAGTATTTTCTGTATGCCCCATATCTATCTAATAATCAACCAGAGATCTTTTTAGTGGCCCTCTTTCCTTATCTTTATCTTCTCTGCCTCTATCACGATAGAGCCGCCTTGGAGATATCGATCTTTTGTTCTTTCCACTATTATTACGATCTCTGGAGTCCCTACGGTCCCTGGAAACTTTACGGTCATCTGTGGAGTCCCTCCTATCTCGAGAATCTCTCTGACCCCTCCTAAAAGAAATATGTATTCATGTAGAATTATGATCTTCAAATGTGCAACAAAGGCATACATAGAAATAGAAGTATGATGAAGACTGTTCTTAATATAATTGCTTATGTAACAACTAAGAAGATTGATTAACGTATCCAACCTGAAGATAGTCAGTCGTGTGGGTTACTTTGCGTTTAGAAAAAAACGGTCCTATATACGTGTGCGCCAGTTAACTGTCGTTTTGCATTGATATTAGTTGTGCGTCCAACAAATAGATGACAGGCAACATCGCTGCGCCACCTATTAGCTGTCCCGTAAACAAAGCTGCCAATATTGCAGATATCCTAAGTCTGCTGGAGACATCCCAGCACAGATTGTGCAGTGTTGTTGAATTGCCAGTAATTCTCTCTCTCTCTCTCTCTCTCTCTCTATGTGTGCATGGGCGTGTTCAGGCGAGAGGCTCACAGCCTAATACGTTTTTCCTCATAAAACAGCAATATTATTTTTCTTAATAAATTTATTCGTGTATGCACCACATTCAATACACTTCTCAATCCGCCAAAGCCAGTCCTTACACTAGCGATGCCAAGTTTCACCCGGGAGTGCGGCACACTCATTGTCCTAAGCCCTCAGAAGGCCATCATCGCTAAAAAACCGTTTATCTTTTAGCTTTACATGCGTAAACAGTGCAAAGTCGCTGGGAGTAAAATCTGCACTGTAAGGAGGGCGCATCATACAAACGTAAACAATTCGATGATCAATTGCGGTCGTCGTGCGCTCGTATCGCGGTTGCGTTGCAGCGTTGCCAGATGTTTGAGAAAATTTAATTATTTACGATTCACTTTAGTCGAAAACGATTGATTTTCGAACATAAGTTATAATGAACTTTTTTGCTTAGAATAATGCAAGAAATCACCTCTTAAAGTTAGGAATATTATTTCTCTAACACCCTGTATATGTAGATTCATTAAATAGGGAGTTTGAAAATGTCTTACCTATCTTTTTCTCTGCTGCGTTCTCTACTCCGACTCCGCGCCTTATAATCAGTGCGCTGCCTCGTAGGCCTATTGTCTCTCTCGACGCTTCTGTCTCGCTCTTTCTCTTTTGGAGGTGATTGTCTCTTGCTACTTGAATCGCTGCTCTTTGACCTGCGACTCCTTTCATCAGAATCTGAAGAACTGTTACTCCGGCTGTCGTTAGCATGACGCCTTTCACGCTGCCTGAAAACAAATTCGCGTCTAAATATTATGGAACATACTTATTTCCGGAACCACACGGCTAAAGTTTTCTATAAAAAATTGTAAGGTAGGTGGACCATTTGAGGCCAATGAGTGCTTTGCGATGACAATTTCCTTCTACTCACACTCACATCAATCGAACTCAAGGATACAGACGAGGCGGCGAGTTGCTCGCATCGTTATTTTGCCAATGGCGTCCCTTATTTGGCGACATCAATCGTTGAAGTTAAAATCACAATTCTAGCTCATAGCAAAACTCAGTTTTTCAAGAAAATAAACTATTGCTTTCTCCAATTTTTTAATTGTAGACTTCTAATGCCATCTGGAACATTTTGGTCCATTTTTTCAGCTTAAATTGTTTTTGATATGAAACTATTTCAATGAAAGACCTTTATATGTAGTTTAAGTAATATAACCAGATATTTTCATTAGAACGTTACTTCTATTGGCTTTGTATCGAGCCTTGTTAATTGCAAGAGCATTCGGAAGAGTTTAATAAAACTTGAATCAAATAAATAATGATTAGCTTTGCAACAAGGAAAGTATTATATATATATATATATACAGGGTGACTTCGAAGTTGAGTCATTTATTTTAACAGTGAGTAGATCTGATCAAAAGAAATGTTTTTTTCCTTTACCATTTTTCTGCTAAAATTAAAGTAACAAAGTTATAGCCCTTTGGAAGTTTGAGTACCGCCCTGTCTCAATAATAATATTATATGTTCGTGTTTGGCGACAACGGATATAATCCGCCTGACCGGTTCATCGCATCGGAAACAAAAAAGCGAAAGAATTTGAAACGTTTATCACGATGTTTTTCGTCAGTCGATAACGCGTTAGTGAATAGTAGTGTTTGTTGCGTGGCTCAAACGAAATCAAAAATGGCACATGTTTACGAAAATGCTGAACTTGTGCACATGATTCTTATTTACGGGGGGGCAGTCTTTACAAAATGCTCCCGGATGCATCACGGATTTATGCGAATCGGTTTCCCAATCGAGTGCAACCAACCCCTCGTGCAACCAACCCCTCGTGCCTTTGTTAATGTAGTACAAAGGGCTCGTGAATCAGGTGACTTAAGACCTCACAGGTCAGGGCATGCTGCTCCAAGACCGCACGATCAAATACAGGTCCGCACTGAAATACTTGTCGGGACGATACTTTATTAAACAAGGTAACATTTTTTTTTATTTATTTTTTTATTTTTACACACATATTTTGGTTTATCTTCCTTCTACAATCATTATCTGAAAATTAATGACTCAACTTCAAAGTCACCCTGTATATATATATATGTATATATATATATATGAATAAAAAGGCTGTTGTTAAGCAGCTTAGTATTATTTATTCTTACTTGTTGAACTGCGAAAAATTAGAACCACTACATATTCGAATTACTCCAACATCTTGTCAACAATAAAGCACAAATTTCCATTATATATTCCGTAAAATAAAGGAATTTTTGAAACAATGATAAATAATAAAATTTTTCACACAACCCATCTTTTCTGGTGAGTCATCTATGTTCATAGAAAATATAATTTGCCAAGATAATACTAATTCGGAATTTTGGGAAATATGAAAAGTTTTTTCGATCGCCCCTCATAGGCACTATACCTGATAAGCAATAATTTTTACACTTCACATTCTTTCATAACGCACATCTGTCTACCACGTCACATTTCCGGGTTCATGCAATGTCATCACGTGCAACAAGTATAGGGTTAAAAAAGAGGATTTTCTGTGCCCCAAAATGTGGTTTAGTTTTCTTTTAATAACCTGGGTATGTTTTCCATGTTTTAATTTGTTCCGCTTTCTTGATAAATGGTTGTAACGCGCAGCTATGTTCCGTCTTTAACAACAAACTCAATGTACCCGGTCTTTTGGTTTTATAATTGTAACAAGCTAACAAGTGTTCTCATCCACGCTGTCGTTTTAAAACACCTTTTAGCTGCAACCTCACCGACGAGTAAGTAATGTAAAAATTTAAATCTGTTCTAAATTGGTTGCTATTTTCATAATTGTGTTTTAGCTCCTGAAGATGACAACATAGTTTGTCGAAAGTTCAAGGTTACCGTCAAAAGACTTCACTATGCTTTAAGTTTTGCCAATTCCCAATAAACAATTTAATTGTATATTTGTTCCATTTATCCAATAAATAGAGGAATAATCACTGTTTACTTGTTAGTGTGACCTTCTATGGTCCACTCACCTTACATATTTGGATGTTTAATAATATCTAAACGCAGAGAACAATAGCAGACTGGGACTTTTGGGTAGCCGCGGATCTCGACATGAAAGACCTAATTTGTGTGTGGGTGCCACATACAATAAAGTTGTGTATAATATATGTACTCACTTTCTTCTTAGCTTAATAGCCATCATCCTTAATTCGTCTTCCCGGGTCTGCTGTTCTTGCTTCTCACGTTCCGTTTTCAATTGTTCCGCGATTTTGTCAGCTTTAACTGCAAAAGAACGAAACAAATTAAGTGCTCTATATACTGCCGCCTAGGCAGAAACCTAAATACCGGGGCTCCGGGTGTCCAGTGGGAAAGTTCACTTTTTGATTTAAGAAATAAGTACAAAATGAAAAGACAATATTTATTACTATCAACATACTCGTAAATTCGGCCGATTTTATTTCTTAAATATCGTTCCGTCCAAATGTTTGTCGTCCCTTCGGACACACTCTTCTAATCGCGCGCGCAAATTTCAGAGTTCCGGAGTGATGTTGTTTATTTCTCGTCGAATGTTGCCTTTAAGCTCCTCCAGTGTTTGTGGATTATTGGTATACACCTTTGACTTTAGATAACCCCACAAAAAATAATCGCACGGCGTGAGGTCGGGTAACCACGAGGCCAGTAAATGTCTCCAAACTTCGATATTACTTTTTGAGGAAAAAGTGGCCCCATCCTGTTGAAACCATATGTTTCTGTTGAATCGACGTTCTGTTCTTACAATAGGAGCGAAAAGTGTCAATCATGTCATTGTATCGCTCGGAATTGACTTTCAATGCATGGCCGTTTTCATCTTCAAAGAAATACGACCCAACAATACCGCTAGAGGATATGGCGCACCAAATAGTTACCTTTGGACTATGTAGCTGTTGTTGATGTTTCTCTTTTGTGTTCGTTGGTGCCCAATATCTGCAATTTTGCTTGTTCACATAACCGAGTAAGTGAAAATGGGCCTCGTCATTGAAATCAACATTCTAGAGTCTGCGCTGCATAGGAAAAAGATTTCCGTAATACGTAATCACTTTCCTTTAAAGCATGGACTGAATGGATTTTATAAGGATGAACACCCATTTTTTTATTCATTATGCCATGTAGTGTTGACCTAGGGATATCCAAAGCAGCGGAATGCTTCCGTATAGAACGCCGAGGATTTGCAATGACCTTGTCACTTACTCGACGCACATTTTCTTCGGTTGATACAGTAGGTGTGGAGCCAGGAATGGGTTGACCAAGAGTAGAGCCTGTGTCACGGAATCTCTGAATCCACCTTTTCAATAGGTTCCTTACTTGGGGCATCTCTTGGTCGGCGAATGTTGTATCGTGTACAAAATTTCCGAAGGGCACCTGCGTATGAATCACTATTCTTAAAGTAAGCCTCGACAGCAAGAGCACGTTGCTATACGGTCCAACATTCCATTGTAACTATTTAACCCGCACGAAATTCGACAGAGTTGGAATGGGAGGTAGGAGCCTACCAAGTTTGTCAGGTCAGCTCAATGCATGGCGGCATAATGGAGGAGAGCACTTAAAAGAGAGCAAGACCGCTGAACGGCAGGAATTTGAAAAAACATATTTGCAATACACGATTTGCGTTTCCCAAAAATTGCTGAAAGAAGAATACTTACACTGTCTATTTAACAACGCCTGTCTTTTTCTTTTCAACCGTTCTATGATGGTCATATTTACTGAGGTTTTCTGAAAAAAATTTCATGTGAGAAATGTTCTTCTTGCAATGATATGATATCAAATTAGACACTTATTTACCTCATTCACAATATTAATATAGTCGTTATCAATTAATTAGAATAAGTGCCAAAACTGAGCAAAAGTACGATTCAAACATGAACTATTTTGATGGAACTCCATGCTTCTCAAGTCAAATGGAACCATATGTGCTTATTGAAATTAATCACTACTAAACATTTTAGCTACCGCGGTAAACAATAATTCCAATATATGTGATTTCATTTGGCCAAAGAAATATGAAGATTTATCTGCATGAAAATCACAGGATAAGTTTCAGATATTTCATTATTTACTATTTTTTCCACATTTTTTTTCAAACTAAATGAAAAGATTTAAGGGGTTCTTACTGACTTTGGTTCCGATGCCAGAACTATTACCATGTCCCATCACCGAGTTATCACTCTTAACCCTGGAATAAAATCAATTGCAAGATTAATATGCTTCTATTTTGAAGAATGTCAGTGGTGATTGATGATAATTATAAACGTCCAATAAAATCTGGTATATTTAAAAAAGTGAATCCTTCGAAATGTGAGATTTATTGGTCAGGAGATGACATAAGCAGCTTTGGGGTTTGTACTGACCATTGCTGAAACATGATCTTTGTTTTCCGTTGCCAATCGCGATCAATAAATTTTGAGTTACGTCACGATACAGTCCTCTAGCATAAGCCGGCATTTCCAGTAGTCTCCGTGTTTCAGATAATTTCGCAGACATAGCTTACTACTTACTAAATGATAGAACACTTACGATTGTCCTTTTTGTTGTTCCCCATTACTCTGATTTCCCTCATCGTCTTCATCTTCTGAAGAACTCACGTCGCTCCTCTTCCTCCCGTAGTACCTCGGCAGTACCTTCGGTGGTTCATCCACCTCCATCTTATTATCTTCTTGTTGTGTCTGCCTGGATTTGTTGGGCGATTCTTTTACAGGCGAAGAGCTATAAGATTTTCTTTTAAGAGGGCTTGTAGCTCTCGACGATGAGCTAGAAGAACTACTAGAATCACTGGAGCTACGAGGTTGACGTTTGTAGTTACGATTAGTGCTGCCTCGAGAAGATTTGGAATGTAATTTTCTGCAAAAAAAAACTCGTTTTGTGACATCTTAGTGGCTCCCGGTCATTTTTTAAAATGTTTTCAGGCTTAAAAAATTGGTGGGTGGAGGGCTGTAGGAGGGTGGGGGAGCATATATAACATTTTTTAATATTAAAATACTAGCGCAGTTGCTGGCACGCTAACGCTATGCAAAATATTGCACGTTGATGTCTTTATTTAAAACCTCACGTAGCGCAGTTGCTGGTATGCTAATGCAATGCTAGCGATAACTTTATCCCTATCTCTAATCATTTTTTATCCTTTGGCATCTTTGATCTGGTATCTGGTATCAGGTATCTGGTATCTGGTATTTGGTATCTGGTGTCTGGTATCTGGTATCTGGTATCCGGTGTCTGGTATCATATGTCTGGTATCTGGTATCTGGTGTCTGGTATCTGATATCTGGTATCTGGTGTCTGGTATCTGGTATCTGGTATCTGGTATTTGGTATCTGTTATCTCTTTACTTGGTATCTGGTATCAGGTATCTGGTATCAGGTATCTGGTATCTGGTATTTGGTATCTGGTATCTGGTATCTGGTATCTGGTGTCTGGTATCTGGTATCTGGTATCCGGTGTCTGGTATCTGATGTCTGGTATCTGGTATCTGGTGTCTGGTATCTGGTGTCTGGTATCTGGTATCTGGTGTCTGGTATCTGGTATCTGGAACCTGGTATCTGTTATCTCTTTATCTGGTATCTAGTATCAGGTATCTGGTATCAGGTATCTGGTATCTGGTATTTGGTATCTGGTATCTGGTGTCTGGTATCTGGTATCTGGTATCCGGTGTCTGGTATCTGATGTCTGGTATCTGGTATCTGGTATCAGGTATCTGGTATCTGGTATTTGGTATCTGGTATCTGGTATCTGGTGTCTGGTATCTGGTATCTGGTATCCGGTGTCTGGTATCTGATGTCTGGTATCTGGTGTCTGGTATCTGGTGTCTGGTATCTGGTATCTGGTATCTGGTATTTGGTATCTGTTATCTCTTTACTTGGTATCTGGTATCAGGTATCTGGTATCAGGTATCTGGTATCTGGTATTTGGTATCTGGTATCTGGTGTCTGGTATCTCGTATCTGGTATCCGGTGTCTGGTATCTGATGTCTGGTATCTGGTATCTGGTGTCTGGTATCTGGTGTCTGGTATTTGGTATCTGGTGTCTGGTATCTGGTATCTGGTATCCGGTGTCTGGTATCATATGTCTGGTATCTGGTATCTGGTGTCTGGTATCTGATATCTGGTATCTGGTGTCTGGTATCTGGTATCTGGTATTTGGTATCTGTTATCTCTTTACTTGGTATCTGGTATCAGGTATCTGGTATCAGGTATCTGGTATCTGGTATTTGGTATCTGGTATCTGGTGTCTGGTATCTGGTATCTGGTATCCGGTGTCTGGTATCTGATGTCTGGTATCTGGTATCCGGTGTCTGGTATCTGATGTCTGGTATCTGGTATCTGGTGTCTGGTATCTGGTGTCTGGTATCTGGTATCTGGTGTCTGGTATCTGGTATCTGGAACCTGGTATCTGTTATCTCTTTATCTGGTATCTGGTATCAGGTATCTGGTATCTGGTATTTGGTATCTGGTATCTGGTATCTGGTGTCTGGTATCTGGTATCTGGTATCCGGTGTCTGGTATCTGATGTCTGGTATCTGGTATCTGGTGTCTGGTATCTGGTGTCTGGTATCTGGTATCTGGTGTCTGGTATCTGGTATCTGGAACCTGGTATCTGTTATCTCTTTATCTGGTATCTGGTATCAGGTATCTGGTATCTGGTATTTGGTATCTGGTATCTGGTATCTGGTGTCTGGTATCTGGTATCTGGTATCCGGTGTCTGGTATCTGGTATCTGGTATTTGGTATCTGGTATCTGGTATCTGGTGTCTGGTATCTGGTATCTGGTATCCGGTGTCTGGTATCTGATGTCTGGTATCTGGTATCTGGTGTCTGGTATCTGGTGTCTGGTATCTGGTATCTGGTATCTGGTATCTGGTATTTGGTATCTGTTATCTCTTTACTTGGTATCTGGTATCAGGTATCTGGTATCAGGTATCTGGTATCTGGTATTTGGTATCTGGTATCTGGTATCTGGTGTCTGGTATCTCGTATCTGGTATCCGGTGTCTGGTATCTGATGTCTGGTATCTGGTATCTGGTGTCTGGTATTTGGTATCTGGTGTCTGGTATCTGGTATCTGGTATCCGGTGTCTGGTATCATATGTCTGGTATCTGGTATCTGGTGTCTGGTATCTGATATCTGGTATCTGGTGTCTGGTATCTGGTATCTGGTATTTGGTATCTGTTATCTCTTTACTTGGTATCTGGTATCAGGTATCTGGTATCAGGTATCTGGTATCTGGTATTTGGTATCTGGTATCTGGTATCTGGTGTCTGGTATCTGGTGTCTGGTATCTGGTATCTGGTATCTGGTATCTGGAACCTGGTATCTGTTATCTCTTTATCTGGTATCTGGTGTCTGGTATCTGATATCTGGTGTCTGGTATCTGGTATCTGGTGTGTGGTATCTGGTATCTGGTGTCTGGTGTCTGGTGTCTGTTGTCTGGTGTCTGGTATCTGGTGTCTGGTGTCTGATGTCTGGTGTTTGGTATCTGGTATCTGGTGTCTGGTATCAGGTATCTAGTATCTGGTATCTGGTATCTGGTGTCTGGTGTCTGGTATCTGGTGTCTGGTATCTAGTGTCTGGTGTCTGGTATCTGGTGTCTGGTATCAGGTATCAGGTATCTGGTATCTGGTATCTGGTACTTGGTATTTGGTATCTGATATCTGGTGTCTGGTATCCGGTGTCTGGTTTCTGGTATCTGGTATCTGGTATCTGGTATCTGGTGTCTGGTATCAGGTGTCTGGTATCTGGTATCTGGTGTCTGGTATCTGGTATCTGGTATCTCTTATGTGGTGTCTGGTATCTGGTGTCTGGTATCTGGTATTTGGTATCTGTTATCTCTTTATCTGGTATCTGGTATCTCGTTTCTGGTATCTGCTATCTGGTGTCTGGTATCTGGTGTCTGGTGTCTGGTATCTGGTGCCTGGTGTCTGGTGTCTGGTATCTAGTGTCTGGTATCTAGTATCTGGTGTCTGGTATCTGGTATCTGGTATCTGGTATCTGGTATGTGGATCTGGTATCTGGTATCTGGTGTCTAGTATCTGGTATCTGGTATCTGATATCTGGTGTCTGGTGTCTGGTATCTGGTATCTGGTGTCTGGTATCTGGTGTCTGGTATCTGGTATCTGGTGTCTGGTGTCTGGTATCTGGTATCTCGTATGTGGTGTCTGGTATCTGGTGTCTGGTGTGTGGTATCTGGTATCTGGTATTTGGTATCTGTTATCTTTTTATCTGGCATCTGGTGTCTGGTATCTCGTTTCTGGTATCTGCTATCTGGTATCTGGTGTCTGGTATCTGGTGTCTGGTATCTAGTATCTGGTATCTGGTATCTGGTGTCCGGTGTCTGGTATCTGGTATCTGGTATGTGGATCTGGTATCTGGTTTCTGGTATCTGGTATCCGGTGTCTAGTATCTGGTATCTAGTATCTGGTATGTGGATCTGGTATCTGGTATCTGGTGTCTGGTATCTGGTGTCTGGTATCTGGTATCCGGTGTCTGGTGTCTGGTATCTGGTGTCTGGTATCTGGTTTCTGGTATCTGGTATCTGGTATCTGGTACCTGTCATCTTTTATAAGTTTTCATTTTTCGTTTTCCGTTTTCCGTTGTCCGTTTTTCGTTTTTCGTTTTTCGTTTTTCATTTTTCATTTTTCGTTTTTTATTTTTCATTCTTCATATTTCATTTTTCATATTTCATTTTTCATTTTTCATTTTTCATTTTTCATTATTCATTCATTTTTCATTTTTCAATGTCGCATGTGTCACCATTAATAGCACACAATGACATTATAAAATCTTCGATATAGCATTAATGCCCTCTATAAAATTGTATGACAAACTCAGATTTATGTGAGGAGCCGGCAACGTCGCATGTGTCACCATAAATATCACACAATGGCATTATAAAATCTTCGATATAGCATTAATGCCCTCTATAAAATTTTATGACAAACTCAGATTTATGTGAGGAGCCGGCAACGTCGCATGTGTCACCATCAATAGCACACAATGGCCTTATAAAATCTTCGATATAGCATTAATGCCCTCTATAAAATTGTATGACAAACTCAGATTTATGTGAGGAGCCGGCAACGTCGCATGTGTCACCATAAATATCACACAATGGCATTATAAAATCTTCGATATAGCATTAATGCCCTCTATAAAATTTTATGACAAACTCAGATTTATGTGAGGAGCCGGCAACGTCGCATGTGTCACCATCAATAGCACACAATGGCCTTATAAAATCTTCGATATAGCATTAATGCCCTCTATAAAATTGTATGACAAACTCAGATTTATGTGAGGAGCCGGCAACGTCGCATGTGTCACCATAAATAACACACAATGGCATTATAAAATGTTCGATATAGCATTAATGCCCTCTATAAAATTGTATGACAAACTCCGATTTATGTGAGGATCCGGCAACGTCGCATGTCTAGCTACCGCACTTACAAAAAATGGCGCTTGACACTTGACATATTATGTGAACCGTGTTCGCCTAAGGATAGCACGTTCTTTCTTCAGTGTAAATGTTTTATGATTTGACAGGAATGAAAATTATGTTTACCTTCTGCTGACGATTAATAAGGGTACCTCTCAAACTTCTTCAAGGATGAAATACATTATCACGATAGATATACACTGAGGCACTTCGTCTGAACCGAAAAACTGTAAACACTAGGCACCGGGTATCACTAGACTGTTGTTATTTGTTATTATATTATGCTATAAGCACAAAGTCTTGCTCAAATGTTGTGGATTTCTGGTCTCTTCCGGAATTGATCTTTGGCACTAATTAGGTCTTACAATCATATTTGTCGTATTTAAGCTGATGATGACTTCTACAAATTGCTAACCGTCACACCCGATTCCACTACATAGTTGGGGGTAAAAGACAGGAATGAAAATTGTTTACCTCATTTAAATTTGCTGACGATTAATAAGGCTACCTTTTAAACCGCTCTCAAACGTCTTGAAAGATGAACTAAATTATCTATAGATACACTGCGGTACGTCGTCTGAACCGAAAAACACTCTGCACCACTAGACACTTGCAAGACACACTGCTATAAGCACAAAGTTTTGCTATATTGTGGACTTGTTGCCTTTTTAGGATGGATCCATATAAACGTTCATCTAAAATTATGCCACTCATTAGGGTTTACAATCATATTTATCGTATTGAAAGTGATGATGACTTTTGTAAACAAATCGCTAAACGTCAAAGCCTAAATGCTTAGCTGCCGGTAAAATTACATCGTTGCCAAGGCATACTTGATTATCATTATAATAATGGCTATAGTCCGGTCCGTTTAGACTATGAAATATAGAAATTTTGAATCTTTTCGAAAATGTTGATTTTCACGCGTAAAAAAGGACAATTCTATTTGGCGTGATCCAATATTCGATGAAGCGACCAACATAAAGCCGAAAATGGCACGTTTCGGACGTTCCGCTCGCACTCGCTCGCTTTCGTAATACGATTATACCTACATTACCCCGCCTAACAGGAATCTGGGGATCTGGAGGGGAAATTCAAAATTGAAACTTCAAACTAAAAATATCTGCATATCTTTGAATTTTCTAATCTGCCGAGTTTAAAAAATGCGATCGGGTAACGTGTCATATGTCGGTTTAATCAGGAGACTTTGGTCTTTCGTTTTGCGAAAAAAAATCGTAGCTACGTCGCTCCGTAACGCAGGTCCGTATCGACGAAGACAAAGTACGCCGAAAAACGGCTGTCATCGGTACTTTTGAGGCGCTCAAAGTTTACTTTTTCGAAATTTGACGGTAATTCTAACGGTCAGAATCGTTTCCTCAGCTCATTATCGTTATTTTTCGATAGCTGTATAATTTTTACTCGCTCACGTACGGTAGTAATAGGCGAACACAGAGTCGAATGACAAAGTGACTTTTTCGCGCGTCGAAAATTAGCGTGTTGTCGGGCAATTTTTAAAAAATCGAAACTTTCGAACGACAAGGGATAAAGGAAAAAAAAAGACGCTATCTTTGAGTCCGATGTCCGGGCTTTCTCACGCAAAAATCGTCAGGTTCCTGGCTCCTTTATCTTCGGAGGAGATAGAAAAAGCGCGTCGAACGGCACGAAAATCTACCGATTTTTCAACTTTACCGGCCATTTTCGATCGCGTTCGTTCCTCCTACCGCGACAACTCTCGCTCCATCGTAAAGCGCCGAGTTTCTAGTTTCCGAAACGGTATCGTTTTCCTTCCGAACGTTCCGCGAACCCGGAAAAAAACCGGAAAAATCGGAAAGTAGCGCGTAGTCGAGGAAATCAAAAAAATCGAAATTTTCGAACGAAAAGGCATAAAGAAAAAAAAAGAAAGCCGCTATCTTTGAGCCCGAAGCCGGGGCTTTCTCGCGCAAAAATCGCCAGGTTCGCAGCTCCTTTATCTTCGGCGGAAACCTATGTTGAACGTCGGACAGAACGAAAATCTACCGGTTTTTTCGACTTTACCGGCCGTTTTCGATCCGATCCGTTCCTCTCACCGCGACGGCTCTCGCTTCCCGGTAAAGCGCCGAGTTTCTACTTTCCGAAACGGTACCTCTTTCCCTCCGAACGTTTCGCGAACCGGGAAAAAAAACGGAAAAACCGCGTCGACGTCATACGACAATTTCCGAACCACTACCAATTATACCAATTACTACCAAATCGAACAAAAGATCAACGCTTAATATTATCGATAATTATACACTGCACACCTACTAAAAGTGTTTCACACCTTATAGATTTGCTCGTACATTTGCCCTTTAAAAAAGTTCTTGCTCTTTTTATTTCCGGTGTCAAAAATAGGAGTTTTTATTTAAGAAAACATTCTACACCTTCAAATGAACTTGTAGAATAAGTCAAAGTTACGTTCAAGGTCACCATTAGATGAATCTTTTCAAAACCTTTATCAAACATCTTTCCTTATGTAACGTATTTTACGAAATATTTTGTCTTTTCCTTATTTTCTGTATACACTTAAATATCAACGAGGATCATAGTCAAGGTCATGAACAAAGGCAAAGTTTAACGTATTAAGTTCCAGCTATTTACATTTCCGGTATCCAAAATAGCGGTTTTATCTAATAAACCTGTCTTGGCCTTCAAATGAACTTGAATGTCATAGTGAAGGTCACGTTCAATGTAACCGTTAGATAAATCTTTCAAGTCTTACAACTTTGTTCTACATTTTTCTCGAGGTAACGTATCATGGAGGAGAGCTCTGACGAGCAAGGCTTGTTGTTGTAGCGGTAGAAGGGAGCTAGATCGCCGACGGCCTGTTAGAGAAGAGTCATCTATCAGTCGGACAGCCCCCTCTGGACACCATCGAGCATAAATAATGTAGTCGGGGCGGCAGCACCCCAAACGAGTGAGCAATACTCGAGGCTAGGCCTTATCTAGGCCTGTATAGAGTGAGGTCATGCGGAAAAAGGTACTCCTTAGCCCTAAACAAATAGCCTAGCTTTTCCCAGCAGCTACCGCTATTGACGAGATGTGTTCGTGCCAGATCAAGCACTCGGTGTTCTAGACTCCGACCAGCCGAAATAAACGGCTCTTTGGCAGAACTCGGCCATCCATCGAAACCGGATGAGCGCTAGGACGCTTTTTGTTCGTCAAGGTACAGTACTGTGTTTTGGAAGGATTAACATGTACACGATTGTTCCGTCCCCAACCGGTGATAACCTCCAGGTCTCTCGTCAGAGAGGAAGTCGCCGCTAGTCTTCTAGGAGGTCGTTGATATGTAAGAGGAACAGTGTCGAAGCCAAGACCGATCCCTGGGGTACACCCACGTTGACGTTGTGAGATGAAGAGCACAACCCGGCAATTACGACGGATATCTTGCGGCCAGAGACGAAGTCAGCCACCCATCTGCAAAGTTTCTCTGGGAGGCCATAGGATCGAAGAGGGCAGCGTGCCACAGCTGATCGAAGATTTTCATGATATCAAGAGCAACAACATGAGCCTCACCATACGACTGGACGAGTTTATTCCACAATTGCGTGACGTAGGCTGGCAGGTCCCCTGTGGATCGCTGGTGCCGGAAACCATACTGCCGTCGCTAATCAAGCTGTGGCGTTCGAGGTAGTCCAGAAGCTCGCGATTTATGCTTCTCTCCATCACCTTACTTATAACAGAAAGCAGAGCTATAGGCCTGTAGTTGTAAGGGTCGTTCTTAGATCCTTTTTTGGGGATGGGTTGGACATAAGAAAATTTCCAGTTTTCTATGAAGGTCTCGGATTTATGAGATAAAAGGGGTTTTGTAAGAAACTTCTGTGTGTCTTGATCTTCTGCTGGCGAGAAGTGTCACACGATTTGTTGAACCAGCCATTGGACCCTAGTTTAGGCACTTTCACTGCTTGAGGGATGTATTCCTCCATCCCGACGTGGATAATTTCGGTTATGGAAGAACAGACAGCCGACGCGTCCGCGTCAGCGAAACAAACCTCTCCAACGAAAGGTAGAGAAGTCTCTGAGCCACTCCCAGTCGACAGGCCCGTAATGTCAAATTTTGCGGGCTGGGCAATTTTCCTGTGCCCGGGTTCTGATCGAAACCTAACCTCCACAGCACCGTGGTCTGAGTTACCCAAGGGGGACAGGATATCAGTGCTGTAAGGGACATGGTGCGTGGTCAGAAAGAGATCCAGCAGGCTAGTGGCATGTGACGAGACACGGGGGGAAAAAGTAGAGCTCGTCATCAGCTAGGTCAGCTCTTGTCTGTTTCTGTAACATTTCATGTCTTTCAATCTTAGGTACTATCCCCTTTCAGAAGCACCTATGGAAAATGCGTGGAACTCCACCAATTTCATATCTAAGGATCTTACCTTAATAAACTACCTGTCGCTATTTAGATTGTGTGTTACTAGAATTTAGGAGAATACCAGATTGTCGGAAAAACTAACATGTATCTATTCCCCTCATTAAACAATTCACCACTGCACAGAGGAAGACTCTTCGCAAAAAAAAATAGTGGAACTAATTTACGGTGAACTAAATTGCAATCCATTTGTTGATGTTCATCACTCAATATGCAGTCAGGCGGTGACGTCATATGAAGATGATATATTGAAGTTAAAGATGCTCTTACCTATCTCTAGAATACGATCTACTCCTCGATCGCCTTTTCACAACACTGACCGACCTGCTTCTACTGCTATTGGAATCGCTTCTACTCCTCCGTCTAAAGGGCGACTTCGACCTTCTCCCCCGTTTCCCCTTGGATACCGATCTACTCCTGCTCTTCCTGGACCTTATCCTGCTTCCAGACCTACTTCTCCTTCTCTTGCTGTCCGATCTTGACCTACTACGACGTCTGTAAACTGCTCGCTCAGAACTGCGGCTTCTTGCTTTTAGGTTGGATTTTACTTTATCCGCGTAGGTTGCAGTGGTTGGCTTGCTGCTGGACGGAGTTTCTTCTTCACCTTTATGGAAAACGATGGTGATAATTGAAAAATATATAGGCAGATATTTACTCAAGTACACCACGTGTCAAAAACGCATTGTATTTGCAAAATACAAATTAGGTTCATGATAGATAAAGTACAAACATATCAAAAGGTGCGAAAAACTAAAAGCAGACAGCATAACACGCGGTATCGTAATCATAATTAAGTGAGTATACCTCATACGTCATGCAAAATGCAATTTGTTTTCAGTAAATCCTTGATTTTTACTTTAAATTGCCTAAATGTTAAAGTGCTCCAATCATCATGTAAGATATTACATAAATTGAGATTAGACAAGTCCTAAAAACAAATCAGGCGGTATCTAGGATATTTTAGGTAATGGGCTTTTCGTGTACTTATGGATGTCTTACACTGTGTAGACATTAAAAGGAAGTGGCATTATGCTGAATTTTTCAAATAGTGGCCTACAGTGTTCTATAGTATTGACACCCACATGGGTATTACGTATCTTGAAAAGTGATATATATATATTTTTGTGATATATTATGTAGGTTTTTCTACAAGATGTTAACTTAGCACTAGCTGATGGATGGGTTGTGAACTCGTTTTGTAGTTGTACGTATTGCCTAAATGTCATGAGACTTCAGTTATCAATGTTTGACTCTGATGTGATGTAAAATCTGCTTCAGAGATGGCATTACTGGAGGATTTGTATGCTAATAATGTGTTGATGATAATTTCATTGGATTCTTGTCTCAAATACACTTACTTGAGATTCAAAGCTAGAACTTAGCTGCGCATACACTTTTTCTTACCCATTCTGGAAATTACATATGCAAATTTGCTGAATTTCAAAAATCAGAGAAATAATTATATTCACTGTACACTGTCGAATTACAAATGCTAACAGTAATTACACACAACGCGGGCGCGGTAATGATTTCTCGTAATTCTCCTAAAAGTTTTTGAAAACACAAAAAACGCAAAAAATCGTAATTTATGACTTTGAACATAACCTGTCTTCAGAAAGGGCAACATATAAATAACCCGTCGGGCACAGCTAATACATATAGTTCGTTGGCAGCATATTCAATAATGATTTTCTCACTCAGTGAATATCACTGATTTTATTGACATGCAAACCAATACACATAATTATCCAGATGCAATCTTGCTATTCAACCAACTTTCTTCTCAGATTTGAAAACTACAGACCACTCGGATTCACAAAACATATGCAACGAACAATGTGAACAGTGATGTATGGATACCATTTCAAATGCATTCGACAACACCTGGAATGGCCTCAGTTATTGCATCAATGGTTGATCTTCCAGTTTGAAATTCATATTGACATGTGTGGTAACAATTTAGCAAAACTTAGACGCGAAAATAGCTGACGAGTCTTGCTTACCCCCAAAACTGGTGATGAAAGTTATTTTTCCTGCATTATCTGGAGATGGAGATCTTGATGCAGATTTAGATTCTCGTAATGACGTTGGTATTGTTGGTGATTCTCTAGCAGCATAACTTGGTGGACTCAGTACCCTATTGGCCAGGCGCTTTTCTCTATGATACCTAATATAATAAAGAAAAAGATCACAGCCAACGGAAAATGCAACAGTAAGCGCCCATTTATGCACACGACTTCAGTCTCGCTGTATCCGACAATGTAGTCAGATAAGAACACCCAAGGCGTTTTTCACAAAAAAATACTCATAAACAGTTACGTATTGACAAACTATTGATTTTTAAATTAAAGGTCCAAGATGGGCAAATAACAAATAAAGTGTATATAAAGGGTGTCTCAATAAGAGCCCTGGATTTGATTTTCAAGAAAAACTAAATTTCTTTTCGAATTAAGCGAGTATTTATATTTCAAGATGAAAATGGCCACCACGAAACCTCTAGCACAGGGTCAGTCTTTTCCTAAAATTATGGATAACGTTTTCGCACAACTGTGGCTCTATGTCATCGATAACGCCCCATACCTCTTCTTTAAGGGCGTTCAACTGTTTGTGGCTTGCTCGTATACACTGTTTTCTTCACATAGAAATAAAGGTTTTTCTTCGAGAAATCCGCATCAATTTGGTGGTGCTCCAGCGCCCAATCATCGAATTCACGGCGCTGTGCATGGTCCGTTGGCTTGAGTTCTTGCGTCAGTTGAACCTTGTACGCATGCAAGCACGGATCTTTTGTCAAAATTGGTTGCAGAATGGGTCTGATAAGGTGTAATTCTTGGCCACGATGCCGAATAGAAGTGCCTGGATTCTCGGCCACATTTTCCCGCACTGCGACTATATTTTGGAGGGACCGACTAGGATAGCAACGAACAGTGGTCTTCTCATTCAGCAACGTGAAGTTTGTCTCAAATTTTGTAATTAAACGGCGAACTGTCGACTCATTTGGCGATTATTGCGACCGACAATTGTACGTAATTTGCGAACTGTTTCCGCGTAGTTTTCTCCATTTTTGTAGTGAGTTTTCACAATAATTAAACGTTGCTCGTTTGAATAAGCTCCATGACGTCTAATCGCGTGGTCTGGACATGACAGCTGATATCATGTAAACCCAATACCAATTGTACAACAAAATGGCGGCAAATTCAAATCCGGCGCTCTTGTCAACACACCCTTTAAATACACTTGACTTGCGTACGTCCCCACGCGTAAGGAAGTTTCTTTTAAAGTCTACAACTTGTAAATCCATATCATCCATATCTGTCTGTATGTGGGTTTGATGTATTTTGGGAAGTAGATCCATTCTTTTAAAATGATTTGATGGATAGCGGTATTATGAGCAAAAGGAAACAAAACGATTTAGATCGAAATTTTGTTTTCGCATGCTTCTACTTGATTTGTACTCTTTGAAAGTTTTTGCAGAAACTTTTTTATAAAAGTAACAATAGCCGAAGACAAGTGTTTCGAAATTTTCTGCCTCTGTCAGTATCAGGTCTGATAGTAACTGTCGTCTCACAGGAGTCCTAAGATAATTGAATCACTTAATTTTGAAAAGCACACTTCAGCTGATATAGCTGTAATCTGAATGATCAAAAATAGAAAGCATGGTAGTCATACGATATAAAGTTTTAGCACTTGTGATTTTATTGTTTGGCGTGCCTAAAAACGTGGACGAGATCGAGGATAATACTTTACGCAATTTTTCCTTCACATGTCAGGGTTCCTGAGAACTAGGAGTCACATGTTAGTGATATGGCTGTTGTTACGCCGTGGACGTCGAGCATTGCTGACTGACAGTGCCACCCAACTCAAGCCGTGCATGAATGACTGCTAAAACCTAGACCTGTCATACACACACTACCCCATGGCTTAGTAACCTATGTGTAGTCGTGACCAAAAATGAAACATCATACACGGGACCACATTTTAAGGGGGGTTTTCTATGTAATATTTTTTCCTCGAGGGGTGTTGAAGTTTAAAAATAAAAAACATTTTTTTTAATATCTTCAAAACCGTCAACCGTCAACTGGAATGAACTAAAATTTGGTATGTGGATTTACCTAAGTATTGTCCACATTCAAAAGTCTTTACTACGTGCACTAGTGGTGGAGATACAGGGGATTAGTGGCGTTATTTTTCCAAATAAAAATAGTACGCCAGTTTTGTTTTTCGAAACGCGCAATTTTTCGATTTTTGCCTTCAAATTACTAAAAATAATTACTCTTGTGTTTTGTCCTAGAGTGCACTGTTTACGTAAAAATAAAACAAATTACTACTACCATTTTCTTTTGTAAAAGCCAATTCAAAAGCTTCTTTTTCCCATTTTTGAGTGTTGTGAAATGGGTTCTGTACCACAAAGGTTTTTACGCGTTCATTTCAATACGGAATTGCCAAACTTCGCAGAGTTAGAAGCCATGGTGTCGTCCGGCATGCTGTTCAAGAGGAATTGGAAGTGATTCATTTGGCGTTGGATGATCCTAGTACAAGTACTACGCGGATTGCAGCCCAGTTACCGTGTTCCCAAAGTCTTGCGTAGAGAATTTTAAATCGGGAAGTTTTACATCTTTACCATCGGCAAAATGTGCAATGTCTGCAACCCGGCGACGAAGTGCAACGGCGACTTTTGTGAGAGGTTACTGCAAATGCAAAATGAAAATGCAGATTTTATTGATGAATCGCTTTTTACGAGGAGTGGAACTTTTAACTCTCATAATAAACATATTTGGTCGTTAAAAAATCCCCGTTCTATAAGAATCCACTCGTTTCAACACAGATTTTCTAGAAGTGTCTGGTGCATTTTCAATGGCCAACTGTTTATACACGTATTGCTACAAAGCTCAAATGCATACTCATACTTAGCTTTTCTAGAGAATTACATAGAAAATGTGTTAGATGATGTTCCGTTAGCAAGGAGAGTACGAATCTGGTATCAGCACGACGGTGCCCCCACATGTTCGTCGTGACATAACCGCATGGTTAAATAATCATTTTTGACAACGATGGATTTTTATTTTTAAACTTCAACACCCCGTATCTTTTTAACGAAGCCCACGAGAAAAAAATGTTACATGGAAGACCCCCCTTAAAATGCGGTCCTGTGAATGATGTTTCATTTTTGTCACGTCTTGTGAATCACCCTGAATACCTGCAGATTAAAAAAATAGTAAGACATGAGCAGCCTTATGGATGAGGAACCTAACATTAATTAAGAAGTGTCAATGTGTCATTTATTCCATTTTGGATCAGATGTCAGGGTCAGTCCATTGTAGCTTTAAAATACAGCTGGCAAACAAAATGAAAAATCAGCACAATATAAGGTAATGTAAATATAGTGGCCAGATAAAGTCCCAAATGTTGCATAGAAATATTTTCAAATCTTCAGGAAAGCACCAATAGAGAGACGTGCAAAAGGCTAGTTGAGACTTTTTTAAGGTCTTAAATAGGTAATATTTGTTGTATTCGACAAAAAAATTAATACTACATTTTTTCAGACCTTAAAGACCATAAAACTTTAATTTAAAAATATTTTTTTCTTAGACAGGCGAACACGCTGTTCGCCATGTTTGACCCATATTGATGTTTACCATTTGTAAACAGCATCTGACAGCAGCATAACCTCTCAAACTTTCAAACATAAAAAGGACCTACTACTAGGCAGTCTGATAAGTACCTGAAAATTCTAAGAGATGGCATTAGTATTCACTAATGCGAACCATTTTTGTCGAGCCTGATCCTTCAAATGACACCTGTCAAAACTTCAGCCATTCATGTTTACACATTTACAAGTTACAGCACTGAGAAGCGACTAACCTCAGAGTTTTTTTTAATATGGAAAAATCCGAGTTTCGAGTTTTGATCAAACACTACTATCTACGCAAGAAAACGATATCCGAGACCAAGGCCAAGCTGGATAAGTATTACCCGGACTCTGCACCGTCGATTGGAACGATTCATAAGTGGTTTACGGAGTTTCGTTGTGGCCGTACAAGCACAGTTGATGCTGAACGATCTGGGCGCCCAAAAGAGGTCACTACACCAGAAAACGTCGAAAAAATCCATGATATGATGTTGAATGATCCCAAAGTGAAATTGAGAGAGGTAGCTAATGCTGTAGGCATGTCATTGGAACGCGTAGGCAATATCGTCCATTCAGTTTTGGGCATGAAGAAGCTCTGCGCGCGATGGGTGCCGCGTTTGCTCACAGTGGACCAAAAACGAATTCGTGTGACGACTTCCCAGCAGAATTTGGCATTATTTTCGCGTAAGCCGACCGAGTTTTTGCGACGATTTGTAACCATGGATGAAACCTGGATCCATTACTACACTCCTGAGTCAACGCAACAGGCAAAACAGTGGGTTCCACCGGGCCGAAGTGCTCCGAAGCGTCCAAAAACGCAACAATGGGCCGGAAAGGTTATGGCCTCCGTATTTTGGGATGCTCATGGCATAATATTCGTGGACTATCTTGGAAAAGGTAAAACCATAACCGGAGCATATTATTCATCATTATTGGACCGATTGAAAATCGAAATCGCCGAAAAACGACCGCATTTGAAGAAGAAAAAACCGCTTTATCATCACGACAATGCGCCTGTTCATTCATGCTTAGTTGCACAAGCAAAATTGCACGAAATCGGCTTCGAATTGGTTCCTCAGCCACCGTATTCACCAGACCTGGCCCCCAGCGACTATTACTTATTCCCTAACCTGAAGAGATGGCTCATCGGTAAGCGTTTTTACTCAAATGAGGAGCTCATAGCTGAAACTGAAGCGTATTTTGGAGACCTTCCGATCGAGTACTTTTCGGACGGTATCAAAAAGTTAGAAAATCGTTGGATTCGCTGTATCGACCTAAAAGGAGAGTATGTTGAAAAATAAACCCGACTTTGGCCAAAAAAACGTCTCCGTGTTTCATTTTTCAGGGACTTATCAGACTGCCTAGTAGTTTACATGAAAAATATAGTTCTTGTATCGGCCGAGAAAGTAAGAATATATCGATAAAGACCCCAGGAAAGCTGTTGACTAGAGTGCCTAGAGAGATAAATATATGCAACACTGTGTATTTTACATTTTAGTGTGCAGATTTCTTCGCCTCGTTGGACATAACCTGCGGCATCATCACCGTATATATTAGATAAAATTATTCAAAGGTTATGCGCTTAATTTGTGTCGATTTTCGAAAAATTTGTGCTTTCCAAAATCCATCATTGTTATTTTTTCAATAAAACGAGTAAACGATAAATTTTTACGTTGATTAGGGTTTTTTTAGAGATAATTGCAGAAAACGTTAGTTCACTAGTGACGTTTCTTTGTTTACAGTTTGTATGACGTCACATCATGGCCGATAGTGTTTTCACCATTTCATATTAAAGATGAGCAATATATTTTTTTCAATTGATATACCGATCTTGCGGTTTTGAAAATCGAAATCGATATATTTTGTTTTCCTAAGCCACTGAAAGAAATACTCATTTATTATATGAGTCAAGTACCCTATTGTGATTACAAAAAATCTCATTATATCCTCATCAATGATCTGTCAACTTTTGTGTCGCATATGATAGGTATATAGAAAATTCAATAATCAAGATAAATTTTGAAGGAAAGGTCATGTCTCACAGAAGTCACCAACATTGAAAACTTGGAAAACCATCTTAAAAATCCTTGTTAACCAAATAAAATAACACCAGCACAAAAAAATGACAAATCCAACCTCCTCTCCCTTCTAGATTTTCTTCCAGCATACAAAGCTTTCTCCTGTTCCTCTTCTCTAGCCAACCTCCGGTTTTCAGCCTCCTCCATATCATCAGTGAGAAAAGAGTAGAAATCATTAGAGTGCATTCCAAACTGTCTGCCATGTTTGTTCATATCATGAGCTTGTGCCGCGTCCATTTTGCTGACGTTCACCGAGAGGTCAACGTCTAGGTCGCTGCAGTCGGCGTCCGAATCGGAATCTTCGGCGACGTGATCCGAGTCGGGCTGTTCTGGTAGTGGAGCAGGGGCTGAGAAGGAATGGAGAAATAACATGCAGTCTACCACTCTCTACTTACTGTACATAAAGTGTATTATCAAAGGTCACCTCAACATGTATAATATTATTTTCTAAAGCATATCAGTAGCGTTCGCGCCAGCATGTACTGGGTGTCCCTTAAGTTTAAGGATAATCCTGGAACTGTAGATCGATCATGTCATGGTCTACTTGATGGTAAAATATTCTTGTAAAAGTCTTACAGTTCTCGGGATTTTTAAATTTAATTTTTTTCTGAAAACCTGGCTTATATTGTTAATCCAGCGCCATTTTTACAAATTTCAACTGTTTTAGACCAGGTTTGTTTTAAAACACTTTAAATTAGGCATCCCATCTCGTCCCGTATTATTGTTCCTTAAGGTGGCGGAAAACCCACATAAAAGTCATGTCAAATTATAAATTTTTATTATTACAACACCTTGTGCCAATAAGTCGAAAAAGTTGGGCAACTATTGGCAATTTTTAAATGGTATTATTGTTATTTGCCCTCTGCTGCTTTCACGATGTAATATAGTAAAATTTTAACAATCACTCTTCAAGTTTTTAGTCTGTTTCTGACTTACAGCTGTGTGTTTTTACAAATTTCAATGAAAGTACCATGGATCCAGCTTTCACCAGGCTACTAAATGTTCTCATCAACTAAATTAATAATAACATTTAGCAACAATCTCACATACTGTTCTCCTGATGATGATGATAAAGTTCATTAAAAGCTTGAGAAAATAAAGTAAAAAGATTACTCATTGCTTTGATGTTGTCGATGTACCCAACTAAAGGCTGAAGCTTTTCTCACCTATATAATTAATCCATCATCCTTCTTGACTCAGTTATCTGTAGTTCATCAAACTTATTCTAGTGTATTTTAGATAATTTATTAAAAAATTAAATACCATGGAAGTAGGTTTTTCAAATAACAAAAATATAATGCTTTACCTGTTCCTTCATCATAGTTGAATCCAATGGCTACCCCACCAGTTTTTTGTTCTTTCTTCCCTTTTTGGTGATGTTCTGTGTACCCAAACTGCTCTTCCAACTGTAACTGCTTGAGAAATTTCTCTTCGCTTATTCCCAGGAAAGAATTCTGAGCAATAATCCTATTGGAGAAATATATTTCTCAACTGGTTTTGTGCCAATATACAGGGAGACAGGTGAATCAAGGCCAGTGTGGTGATTATAAGTAACCTATGGGTCTTAGCCTCTTATAACTGAGATACAGCAATAATAGAATTTGGCCATTTCTTTATGGGCCGATAACTTTTAAACGACCTGTTGTATTTTAAAAATATCCATGATTTAATAAATCACACACCATTTAGATGGGTACCACCAAACCAATGTTGTCATTTACATTACCTGTGATATTCTGCTCATGTTATAACCTTCTATATGTTAATTCCTTCCTCAATAAAAATTTCCTTAAGTGAATATGCAACCACCAACAGTTCTTAATATGAACCTAAAAGTATATTTTTGTTGACCTAGATGAAGTGATTGATAAAATGACCTTCTTCCAAATTTGAATCTAATATGATCATATAATTTTAAAACATAAGTTATAAAATTGATATAGTATAAATTAATCAGCTTTGTACTTCAAAATGAACAAAGCCAGTATCTCCAGGTTTTACACAATCATCTGCTCAAATAACAAAACTGAATCATAAGGATGAAGTTCTGCCAAATTTCAACTAATCCAAACCTGTATACTTTTTCCCTTTTTATATCATAGTCAATTTAATAGCATATACTGACAAGAAATGGCATAAATTGATAAAACTCTTTGAATCCCAGTTATAAGAGGATGAAGAACTATCAAGTATAGGTTTTCTATGATGATCTCAGTGGCCTCTATCCCTATACAAATACTGAGATGGATTACAAATTACAGTCATTCAATAATGATACATTTTGTATTATAGTTCTACCAGAAATGAAATTTTGGTCACGATAAAAAATCATTAGTCAAAATTGTTAGCTTGCAAATATTACCTGTATCGTTCATAGTTCAGCTGTCTTTCCTCTTGGGAAAGTTCTGTTTCTTCTTCTTTCTTTAAAGGTGGAATATAATCCAAATGAGCTCGTCCATCAAATCTAAGGAATTGTATAATCACCATTACATAGAATTGAACCAAGATGTTAAGGTAGCATAATTTATAGTCTTATCAGTGCTACATTTCAATATAACAATAAGAGCAGATCCTCTAGCTGAGAAGGAAGCTCTAAATCTTTAGCTGAAGGGACAGTCCAGTAGCAGACAGTGCTCCAGTGCAACTAATTTCATCATACTGCATATAAATTGAGGAATTAAATAAAGGAAATTAAAACAGAAGAGAATAATCTCTAAATTTGATCTCACCTATCAATTAAAGTATCACTATTTCCTTGCCAAGGCATCATTACAGCACTATCTGCTGCAGCAGCTACTTGTGGGTCCAGATGAATCTTGCATTGTCTACCATGGACTTGCAGGAACTGAGTTGGATCTGCTTTCTACAGCACAAATTTTGTTATCAGACAAATGCATTATTATATATGTGTATCTTAACTTTAATTATATCAGAAAGCACTCTTAATTACAACATAGCATCTGATGGTTGGACATCTGGATGTCAGGCTTGGATATTTCAATTTTTTGTAGCCTTGCAACAACCTGGGATGTGATAGTAAATTAATATATACCTACAATTTTCTCGTAGAAATCTCTTCGTCTTTCAGCCCTTCTCCTGTAATCGACAAGCATTCCTCGAATTTTCCGTTCTTGGCGTCGGGCTTCGTGCCACATTTTGAGGTTGGAAGGAAAGTTTGTAAGAAAATGTATGTATTACCACTAGTAATCGTAGTATCAAAATATAAGTATTCCAATTAAGTATTTTGTACGTATTTTCCACAAGAAGAGTATCCAAAGTAATTAGAAAAATCAATGACAGACTTATTACTTCCACTGCTTTCAAACATTACTGTCGTTCGCTGTCATTAAAATTCATCTGTCGTAAAGGCTGCCATTGCTGCCAACCACAATACACTCTTGGGGATGGCAACGATACATCGATGTATCGAAGCTAGAATATCGATCTTTTACAAGTTACAAAATACATGGAAATGGAAAAACTGGATCCGGCTCTGTAATTTGTCACGTTACCTATGAAACTAAAAAAGTCGCTATCAATCCGTTTTGCTAATTAATATGCCGCATTTATTGGACTTTTTTGTAGATATATTTAGCTTAAAAAGTTTGACAAAACACACAATCATGGAGTCCAGCTAGATGGATTGTATGGCCTCTGCTTTATATTTCCTATCTTCCTTAAGCTTAGCATTTGAGGTACGCTGAGTATTTTATTTCCTGCACGGGTATTATGTATTGTAAGAAAACCTATAACACGTCAAAAAACCCATAAAATGTCATCTTGTAGACTAGTAGTTCTTAAGGTGCAAACAGTTATTCCGTTTGCTCACTAGGATCGTTGTGAGCGTCCATCTATAAAGGAATGACCCAACTACACGCATTGTTGGTTGCATCTGTTTTGTGAAGCCTAGTAGTCTGTAGTTTTCATCTCTGAGAAGAGTTGGTTAAATATTGAATATCAAGATCGCATGTGTATGATTATGTGTATGTCTGCATGTGTATAAAATCAGTGATATTTGCTGTGTGAGAAAGTCATTACTGAATATTCTGCCAATGGAGTATCTATATATATTAACTGTGCCCGACAGGTTATTTAAATGTTGCCCTTTCTGAATTAAGGTTATGCTCAAAGTTATAAATTTCGCTTTTTTATGTTTTTTTTGTGTTTTCAAAAACGTTGAGGAGAATTATGGGAAATCACCACCGCGCCCGCGTTGTGTGTAATTACTGTTAGCATGTCTAAGTATGACTTGTAATTCGACAGTGTACAGTGAATATAATTATTTCTTATCTCTCATTTTTGAAATTTAGCAAATTTGCATTTGTAATTTCCAGAATGGATAAGAAAAAGTGGAAGCGCAACTAATTTCTAGCTTTGTATTTCAAGTAAATGTATTTGAGACAAGAATCCAATGGAATTATCATCAACACATATTATTATGAGCACATAAATTCTCACTATGCACCTTTGCATTGCCATTTCCTTCTAGCTATATTATACAACTTACAGCTTAGACCTGCAGTAATGCCATCTCTGAAGCAGATCTTACACCACATCAGAGAACATTGATGATTGAAGCATCATGACGTTTAGGCAACTACAAAACGAGTTCACAACGTGTCCATCAGCTAGTGCTAAGATAACATCCAGTAGAAAAAACTACATAATGTCACATAAAATAAATACAATTTAAAAAAAATCGACATTAGGTCACTTTGTAAGATACGTAATACCCGTGCGGACTGTAGGAGATATTTCTATGTTTTAAGGGTAGAAAGTAGAAAATTTTGAAAATGAGATATGTTTATTGGATGTTATATGACATGTACATCTCATCCACTAGCCCTTGACCCGTCTATAAGTTGGAACAAGTGTATTGCTCGGATTTGGATGAAAATTTCACACAAGATTAATTTTATGCCAAAAACAAAAAGGCTATGTAGTTTTTGAAAATCTGCCCAGTAGTAAACTTCGCTTTTCGATGTTTGTCCCAGTGAATATAGTGACGTCATAATTCAGCCAGTCAGCATTTTTAGGGCACTACTCACGTACGCCGATCAACAAAAATGACGTCATTATGACGGTCATTAGACAATGACACACACAATTGACGTCGTTATACATAGGCGCCATAGTAGGTATGTCATATAAAAGAGCAAATGCAAAGTCGATATGACGTCTGTATGAAGTGGTTATGACGTCTATCTAAGGTCGATATGACATCTATTTGACGACGATATGAGGTACAGTCTCTCTCGTTCCGAGACGTTGTTATACTATAAATAACAATAAAGTAGTTATTCGTATTTGGATATCTATTTTACGAGTACCTTATAGTTCATTAAAAGTATAGATTTTCTTTGTAGGTAAACGTCGATTTTTCAGTACTGAATGTCCTATAAAAGGCGTCAAAATGACAGCCTTTTCAAACGACGTCTTGTTGTCGTCATAGAAATGGTGTCAATAAAGATGTTCCTTTTTATCAATAACGTTTCCGACCAAAAGTTACCGAATAATGACTCCATTTTGGCGTCATCATGGATATTTTCAGAAAATTTTGTGTAGGGGTTAATACTGGAGGTTGGGAGTTGTAGAGGGCGGAGAGAGTATATCTCAATTTATGATGCTTGTATCTATGCTGCCAACCCCGGAAAAACTACGCATCTGTTTAGACATATTTCACATATATACTTAACCATACATTCTGCCATTAATTGTAAGAATGGCATAGAAATGTTATCGATACGCGTCTCTGGATCTGTCCTGCTCTCTAGATTCACCGGCGGGCATGCAGCTTTCGATGGGTGCCCTGCCATTACGGTCGCGTTGCCGCGTCTGATATGTCGTAATGTATGCGGGAGGTATGAAGGAGAGGCGATGTTGCCAGGTGGAGAGCGCTACCGGATCAGGTGGTGTGAGGAAAGAACGTCTATGGCTTGTATGACTGACTTGGTTCGTTTAGTTCCTCTGCCATGTATGTTTTTCTTAGAGGGTGCTGATCATAAGCTTTTGTGAACTGATGACGGCATTGCGTAGGAGGTGCAGAGTCAACTTACTTGATATCACTATTTCTCTTGTATTATCATAGTTAGATTAGATAACATAACTATTTCGTTTTTCATGGTCAAGGAATTGAGAACACATTGTCAAAAGACAATCTCATATCTAATCTACTTACATTTTTTCACCAGTTAACCTGAGAAATCTTCGTTACTCACCTCAATGTCGGCAGTTCTTTTTGCGGTTTTTGGCCGGTCATTATGAAACTACTGGTATTATTTCCGTACATTCATTTTCCTCACACTTTACTAAATGACATAAAAATGCAACACCGACTAGGAGTGCGGTAATTTCGCGCATAGGTACTTTATAAGTTTTAGGTCTACTGATTTCTCAAAATAGCTGAGATATCCCACCTTAACGTTAATAATGTTTAAGCTCCTTTGTTCGCTACACATTCGTTAAGTCGTCGCGACATTGATTGGATTAGAGGTGATTGATCTCTTCTGGGTGTATTGTATCCCAGGACACATGAATTTGGTTTTGTAGAGCCTCCAATCTTTGTGGAGGTCTGCGACTCTAGGCATGATAATGCAATGAAAATTTAATGAATAATCTTGGGTGTTGCATTTTATATGTCACTTAGTATACATACACAATCAGCCTCTATCTGCGGACATCTGATTGTGTAGTCTCTCAGACATAGGTTCTTCAGTTTTGTCCACATTTATACTTGTTACTGGCAGTATGACAAGCTGCTTGTCATAAGCGTGCCAGCTTACCTTTTGTGGATCTTCGATATAAAACAACAATGCGTGAAGATATAACTACGATGTCGACAGTCTGTTAAATTTGTTGCAGTATCTTCAAAAGGCGAATTACGACAACAATTCTCTTTTCATGTGTGTGCAAGAGCGAGTAGCAGCTTCGTTAAAAGGATGGCATGCGCAGTGTGCAGTGTTCGTTCGATTTTTCTCGTTAATCTGTTTCCTAATTTCGTTTGACATTGTGACGTAACCACCAAAAAACATGAAAAGAGGTAGACGATAATGTCAGTTAAAATTGTATTTTGTCAATTTCATTGTGACAGTTTGCCACTTGAACCTTACATTTCAAAATATTTTATAACGACTGAGGAGGAAGTAATATTGAGTACAGCTTCTATAGTTTTTATATTCTGTCCAATCCTTATTTACTCCGCTTGTATTTGCTTGAGTCGCTGTCTTCCTAGTCGTTTATAGCCTGCTGACAAATAGGAGCCAGCAAATTTGAATGGCACACGGTGATGTTTTGTTTTAGCCAGGAGTAAATGAGATTTGAATACACTTTAGGGCGGTTTTATGCTCCGTAGTACTATTTATTCATATAAGGCTCTCGAATTTTTACGAGTACTTCGATTGCTTTGTCTGTTTTAGTTACGACTAGACATACCTGCTATAAGTGCATATGAAAAGAAAAGAATGGCTGAAAAATACTATTGTTTCAATAACTATACTAAACAAAATTTGTGATATAATTTTACACTATCTTTATTTCTAAGGTGTTTATTAACGACTTCAATATTACATCCTTAGACATCATATTTTATAGAAATGTGAAAACATAATGTTCCTACTCAGTATTTTAGGTGCAGACATGAAAAAAATGTTTCCGTTGCATTGAAGTAACGCACGGATACACCCTGTAAAGGTGTAAAATATTGTTTGTGTTATTTATCGAATAGCATAAATTAAAACTGTCTAGTACGTGGAGGTTATACTTCTTGATAAGGAGGCCTGACGTTCACTGGCTCTGCTATTGGTCAATGTAACGGGTGTGTAGCAATTTCGCTTTATCCACGTTCCAGTAAATAGTATTGAAAATGAAATTCATTGACTTTGCATAATACCGCATTTGATATCTAGTACTGTGCAAGTTTCTCTCGTGTTGGGCGTTTTATGGCCAAATATGACAAAAAATAGAGAATAATGGACACATTTCGCCTTTAACTTCCCTTAGAATATATTGAAAATTAACGCTCCACTTTCTTGAAGGTGGAAAATATTATTATTGTCCTCATTAGCTCAAGAAATATAGAACAATTTATTATAAGGGGACAAATTATTTGGTCAAAACGTGAGGAAACTGATACTAGACGAGAATATGAGTTGTCTCAAGAAAACAAGCTGTGCCTCTATATTTTATTTGCCAAAAATAGGGTTAAAAGTAATTTTTTATATTTTAATCGAGTTATTTTATCACTAAGGGAATCAACGGTGGCTCTTTTTTTAGCCATAAAATACCAGCAGATTAAATTTTTGAACAGGAAAATCAGACAAATAATCTTCAAGTTATTGCAATAAAACAGCCAAAAAATAGACAAATCATCATTTGCTTTCATT